TTTAGTTAATACTGATTTGTGACGTGTCTGTTATAGGGTTCACAAATGAGTTATTATATACTCTTCACTCCGTTTCGGTAATACAGTTGTTGTGTTACTTAGGAAGTTATGAATGAATGTCACTACTTGTTAATAAAAGACTTATAGGCACAGTCTGTTACTTGCTATTTCAATAACTTATTGAATATGATACTGAGAACAAAGTTTAATTGTTTGTCTCAAAACGGATTTGTTGTTTTTCAGAATAGTATGAAGCTTATGGAATTTAGGATTACGGAAGATCGTGTGGAAAACCGGTTTACAAGTTTACGATAACTGTTTTATATTGCCTACTGCTATGCTCATTCATCTAATGAATTATTTAAATATAAATATAACAACCATACGCAGTGTTTTATATTATAAATCCTGTAAGTTTGTATAATTATGGTCTAAATAAAGCCAAAACAAATATTGACGCAGAATCATGTGACTGCATTACATTTCGTGGTTTCTCATAAGTTGCATACAACTGAATATGCATTATAATTTAAGATTGAGGGAAGAAATAGTATGAAAGATAATAGAAAGCAAAGAATTGGAATGACCTAGGTTATCAATAATAACTATACATATGTATATGCTTGAACAGGTCAAAGGTCATTTGGTGTTAGACTTAAGGGGACATAAAGGATGGGTGGTGTAATAGTCGAGTGAAGCCCAGAAGCATATAAGATAAATTGTGTGATAATTCTAGATGTAATGAATAAATCAGTGAATTAAGAACTAATAAGATAAGTGAAGAGTTAACATAATTTAGCAAAGAAGTGTGAGTGGAAGGGTGGTCTAAGGATTACGTAATCCATCTTATCAAGGAACTAGCTGCATGAAATTGTCTAGTTCCATACTAATACTAACTTGATAATGGACGTAATCTGACAACGGAAAATATGTAAGACGGTTGTTTAATCTGTAAGGTTTTACGTGGAAGCCGCATTATTGTTTTATTTGACTCGTTGATTCCTCACAATGAACAACGATATAACGCTAAGTTCTAACGACAGTTCGTAACTAATACAGTAGTACAAATTCTTAATTTTCACACACAATTATTCGTTAAAGCGATTGGTAAACCTCCCCATGAAAGTATGAAGAAGACGAAAATAAAAAATGAGAAAAAGTTTATTGATTTTTCATGACTACTAAAGTGGAAAGATAAGTTTACAAGTTGTATAAATAGTGGTATAAAATAAAGCCACAAAGAACTGTTAATCGTAAACCTGCTGTCTAGCTATTTATAATTCTTAAGTAAAAATTGTAGACTTTTCTCTCCACCTGATTCGCGAAGCGTTCACCATATTTCTCAACAATTTGTTGTTCGCACATTCTTTGGAGCCGTTGAAGTTGTATATATTCTTTACTCCGTCTCGGTAATGAAATTCCTGTGTTGTTTTGTAAATTGTGCGTATTGTCTAATTTTCATCTGCAGCAACACCTAAGAAGTTGATGAGCTATGCAGTTTATATTTTATAATTTAAATAGCTTACCTGTTAGATTTCGTCTTTTAATATATGCCAGCAGGAGATGGCGGCACGGATATCGACACATATTAAACGTGCTACAATTGCATTCACAACCACTCGCCGCTTTCATATTCTAAGTTGACGAAACGCATTTTTTTAAGTTCGTATAACACTTTGGATCTTGCGAATGGGGTCAACATGTTCAGCAAGGGTATAAGACGCTGTGGAGCATCATAATTGTATGTTCGTCCACTGATTATTTGGTCTTCAATGCTTTTTCTAGAGAATGTCATTGGACTCCACTAAAAAGCCTTGTACATGCATTTGTGCAAGCTGTCGCTTTTGCGTACATGTCTTTTTATCTGCCTATTTAATGACTCAACACGATTATTCGTGTTGTTACCCAAAGTTAATACACTGCTGTAAAAGGCACGCGCCCACATTGTTTTACGTGGCATCCAGAAACGTGATAGGTACTGGCCTATCACTCTGTCTCTGCGGTTTACTATTCTGTAATATTGATTAAATCTAGTGAATAAATACATTAAAAAATTACCTTCCGACCGTTTCTGCGGTTACCAGTCGAGTCAAGTAGGTTTTTAGTATTTTATCATTTGTCTAAAAGAAATTTTATGTAACCAACCATTGGTGCACCTTTTTCCGGAAAGCGCGAATCACATGAAAGGCGCACAAAATAATGTTTGCATGCCCGTGTGTTATACGGACAGCCGCGCTTTCAGATCGTGCGCAATCCATCACAAATGTTTCTGTTTTGGTCGTGTTACCTATTATCTCCTTGAATTTATCCAAAATCCACGTAACATCAGCGCGCTTTTCTTTTTTTGTCCATGCAAACATAACAGTTCGACCTCGACCCCAATTGTCTGTTACCACTAACTGGAATAATGAATATCTACATAGTTGAACAAAACGAAAATCATATTCACTTTTTATTATTAGTTTTATAAGTAGAATCAATACACACGACTTCGGGATATTGATTGTACAGCCGTATCTGATCATAACTGCTGAAGCATATCGCCGTAATACATCCATTTTCTGCATGCTCTCTAACTTCACCGTTTTGTCGCATCATCTGCAATACCTGCTTCCGAGTCAAACCTGAAATATATTTATATACACTTACCAGTGGAGAGTTCAGCTTTCATATTTTTGACATCAGCAGCGGTCACCTGCTTACCTGTTCTTTCCTTAATACTTTCGATAACTTCGTCCGTCGACTGACAGTGCAATATAACTGGTTTCAAGTTTTCTTTTTCTTCTGATGACAATCGTCTACTCAACGGATGACAAACCATCCACGAACTAGTACACGGATGGTTGTGAGACATGTTGTAAGATTTTATAACGTATTGTTGACCCTCCAATCTTACGCGAAACATCGATTTGCAATTTAAAAATTTAGACCTTAAATGTAACACATTAGTTAGAGTCCTTACGGTTTTTTATTCACATTCAGACCTTCTGATTTACGTTTACGACCAAACGTGCAACGAAACACTACGAACAAGTATTTATATCTCACATCCTTCAACAATCTACTTTCTGCGTGAACATAGTGTGTATGGGTCATCTGAGAAAACATAGATTTATCCCATCATACTTTATGGAAATCCTTTAGCGCATTATCTAATTCAATCCAGCTTCCGAATCTCTTATTCAGCATAATACGTTGGAACACGTCACTTACGTTCACTGAAATTTCACTTGAACATGAAGCACTAGAGACAACATACAATAGTTATTAAAAAAAGGTTATTCCTTGAAAAAAATTAACTGAAGGAAGAACAACAAATATTTAGGACTTACCCTTCAGTTGACATTTCGTCTTAACTCACAAAAACTATGCGCATCTATAACCTTTTACGTTATTTTATCTTTCTTACGTTGTTTTCTGGACCTTATCAACAAATTATATATAGCTGTTGACTGTCACTACAGCACTTAGGACCACAGATCAAGTTTCGAAGGAATAACAGAGCTAAAGTGTGCACTACAAAACAGAAAATACTCAGTTAATGCTCTTAGTAGTTATTTAGTGTTTAATATGCATCAAAAGATGACTTATATATGGAAACATTTAATACTCATAGGACCCAACACACACACGGCAATTGAAATACGGAATGCCCGCTTCCAGTCAGCGCGTTCAAGGTCGTTGAAACGAAACGGCGGACAGATTTGAAAATGATTACCGTTTTTACCTTGCCATGAAATGAACACAGTGAAGATGGCACAGGTAATAAAGAGTTGATCTAACCTTTGTCGATCGGTTAGGGCATGAGTTGGAAGGAAGATGGGGACATGATCTTTATCTTAAATACCTAAGGAGTCTATTCGGTCATAGGGGAATATTAAGTACGAGAATACGAGGGAAAAATATATTGATATCCTGAGACACGGGGAAAAAATATCACAATGTATAAAAAATAAGGCAATAATATATAAACCCCAAAAAGGAACAGACTCACAGTTGCAATTAGGTGTACCAGATCATGTTGGTCTCACCAATGATGATGGCACAGGTATTCAGTCAACGACAACGCTTTTACCAGCAACACCTTATAATATAATTCGTACCTACCAAGAGAAATCAAAAGACAGTATCGAAGAGATCGGGAGAGTGTATTTTGCGATAACCAATATATCGGAATTCTCTGATCTAATCTGGCTAGCGATTGAGGTAGATGTTGAGCACAGCGTTACCAAACGTGATCTGGTGCGGATGCATGACCGAGCGCCTTCAGCTAGATGAGTCCACTGAAACAATATGGTCACCATCCAATGTCGAAAACTTACAGAGCTATTTATTTTGGGGATTTATTTACCGCTACAACAGATTGCTCAGTTGACAGATTTCGGAAGAGAAATTACAAACACATACTCACTCATGTATTGCCAATTCCCTCCTGATCAACTGTGTCACATGCATATCCCATAAATTAACACAGCTATCAATAGTTACTTCCTATCTCCCTTAACGTCATCTCCGTTTCCCCTTTTATTCTTACACTGCAATCTTCTCACATTGTCTGCATTTTAAGCACATGAGCTCATTTATTTATAAGTTCTTGAAGCAATCGTCTTCTCTTAGCACTCATTACTCTCAGATTGCAATCAATCAATCTCCTCGCTGGTAATGTGATAGCCACTGGCATTCAAAAACCATGCAGCTATGAGTAGAACACACCCACTCAAACTACAAGATATACCAACCAACAAATGGCTACCAAACTGACTAGAATTAGTGCGGTAGAATGAATTGACAGACATTCACTGAAATACTTAAAACCTTACCGGAACGGCAAGAAACACATCAATTGATTTGTACGAGCTCGTGACAAATATATTTGGTATGGGATCTCATCCTACTGAAACTTACCATTTTATTAGTTTATTCTTAAAATGTTTAAATGGATTGTGCAGTCGACAATACCGAATTACCATTGTTTTTCCAGCTCTCTACAAAAACTGAAACTACTTTGACCTTCAGAGATACTTCACGGCCGCGGATGTCATAGCTCCAAGTTCGAAATTTGTTACATATGTTCATGAACACTAATCGCCCATTTGACATTCTAGTAAGCAATTTTCTCAACTGCGTATAAGTTATTATTCATTTAGATTCTTTTCGGAATAGTAGGTTTAATAAGCATTGTAGAACTATCCTGAATCGCGGGATCGCAGGATTTTTTTGCCACCAGTAGGAGTTTTACTATGATTAAACAGAAATCATTGGTTTCTATTTAACTACAATGCATTGTAGCTAAATAGAGAAAAGAAAGGAAACATCTAATCTTGTCTCCTGATCTCTGTCGCACGTTTTTCCCCTGTTTGGCCGCGAATCCGTAGCAATAAGCAAACTGAAAATGTCGACTAGGACATCATCCTAATAACAGGAATTTCTAGACATTTCTGTTTCCCCATTTAACTACTTACATTTCTTGATTTACTAGCTCAAATGATTAGCCGGTCACAATGTATTGCTGGGGGTTTGTTTTTTAACCGACTTAGAGCATTTTAGGTTAAATCTGATCTAAATTGGGAATTTGAAATCACTTACTGTTACAATCATTGAGACCGAGTTCACATGTTAACAGCAGAAATATGGTTTGCGCTTCGAAATATCACCACGCTGAAAATGATGCATACTTGGTCACAATTTAATAAACCAGGGTAGGTTAACGATAAGAACAGACTGAATACGTATTGGGATTTCAGTTTTCGCACACGGAAACCATCAATGAACCTTATTATATACGATTGAACACATTTATACGACATTAAGATGCTGACTTGATATTAATTCGATTTCAAACTAAAATTGCAGGAAAACTGTCCATATTTATGGTAGATTATTGTACGAATTCACTCGTAAAAAGCATGAAATTCGGTTTGGAAATTAGTTTCGAATTCTGTGAGGCGTAGATTAACTCAAAGAGCAATTTAAATGAAGCAATAAGACTTCTATAGTTGTGAAGTTAGATTATTACTTCGTTCTGGCCTTTATCTCTTGCCCGTGCGATTATTAAAAATTAGTGAAGCCTCTTACACTGATCTGTTTTCCTTGTTAACCACATTAATAATGTCATTGTCATTATGATTTACAGTGCCAGTAAACAAGCCTTTGTATTTATGATATGAGTTTATCAGCACACTTTCCATTTTTATTCACAAGAATCGAAGTGGATTCGATAAACAATATGAAGAGTACAAACAAGGAATGTCTCTTACTCAGTCTGTGATGAGTATATTCCAAGAGAAGTAAGTTCTCTATGATTATACTTTCGTGTATGGTTTGCAGCTTATATACCGGTTCAAATAACCTTCGTAACCTACTTTTGAACTACTGTTCTAGGTTTTAAAATATTCTGGCGTCAGTCAATCATAATCACCGTAAGCGCGGTAAGAATGTGCGTGTTTCAACTCACCATTACTTCAGTCAGCACTGCTTGTTGAGGTAGGGGTGGTTGGCAATACGTAACAAATCTTCCAGCTACTACAACCTCAGCAATCAATCTCTTCGGTACCCTACCTTCTTTCCCACCATCCTTCACTTGGTTGTTTTATTGAAGAAAGAAACATCCATCTCGACGTAGACTACTCATAAATGCCGTGTCCTTTCTAAAGATTAATTTATCAGAACAGCGGCATCGCTGACTCAGTATCCCTTCATTGTATATTCGCACATGTTCACATGCTAACTTGCATAATAAACATGATATTTCCACACATTTGTCTATACTATGTAGTAGCTTGCCAAAAAATTCCTATATCAGCGAACTAAGTCATTAGTTTTTCCTTGCGTACACCACCTTTAAGCGTTCTGATTAGGAAATTTCTGTTTCTTATTACAATAATGATACTGCCTAATTTTTAGTTTCATCTGACATCTATATAAGTGGTTTCAATTCGTATCCACGTTTTGTGTTTACGTCAATGTGTATAAAAAATTACTTCCAAGCTTGCGAATTCTACATAGGCCACCTAGATAAATATTGGTGTATGGCTTTTACTGAATTTTTCAGTTTTAATTAGAAAGGACCATTTATCGAGTCGATTAGAATTGAGATAAGGTTACAACTTCAATGACAGTAATTAAGGATTGCACTACATTTAAGTAGAATGAAGTAGAAAACGTAGATTGTAACTAATTAAATCAATGTCATTCTATTATGTGTTCAGTCTTATTCAATTACCAAAGTAGACCTTAAACACCCATCCAAAAGCTCATTGGTTTCTAATGGTTAATTGTTAATTAATATTCTTTCCAAAAAGTATTTACTTAAAGCCTGGTCACAGACTGCTGCATTGTTTTGTTTGCTTCGTCACCATTAAATACGAAAAGTTATTATTGAAATAAAAATTATTTATTATGATTGTTTCTAAATTAATGCATGTGAATATCACCTTTGTTTTTGCAAACATTTTTCAAAGTATACCACATACTCACCAGTCAGTCAGCCAGTTATAGGGGCCGTAAAACCTGACACGTTTGTACGTCGATTCAGTTTGCTATACTATATTAGGGCAACCAAATATAATCGTCAGGTCGAATTCTAAGGAAGCAGATTTAGTTACCATAGTAGTAGTAATATAAAAGATTAGGCAAAGATTTGATTCTAGAGGAAAATATGAATTCGTGGAATACAAAATAATTTACATAGTAATATAGAACCTTGGAGTTTAAGAGAAGATAAAAAGTAAAAATATCTGCACAACTGTGACTGATTTCGATCCATGTCACTCAGTCTCTGACCATTGGTTACGATAATCACACAAATCCCAACCAGGTCGTTTGCGCCTATCTACATGGTTCTGTTGGACAGTCAGTTTTCATAGATGGATGTTGCGTTTTAGTTCAGGAATTTTTATGACTCACGGTGTTCAAGTCTTATACTAACACACAAACTTCCTCTACAAAAGCCCCCCACCCCAAGTGGCTACTGAGTGAGAAGAAGAGTGAAGGAGAAAGTTTATTGAGCTAAACTGAACTAAGTAAATGAATATATATGTCTGCTCATTAGAAAATAAAATCATTTCTTGGCCAATAATATGCACTTGTTATTAGATTTTGGATTCCCGCAACGCGACTTTCTTATTTGATGACTTTTGATTGACGCAGTGTATCATGGGTCGCTAACCTTCTTACATCAGACATCATCTCTCATCTAGGCAGCCACTGAATGGAGATACCTAGTACATTCTTTAACGATCTCAGTCAATAAAGATCCACTGCCCCATAAGTCGATTCGCCATATTTACCTAGTCCTTTTCGTCTAACCTCATCCTTCCTCACTCAGTGGTCCCAAAATACTCGAACAATTGTTCGAAAACACCATCGAAAGTAAAAATAACTCTGGTTTATAACCTACATCAACGTTCTAGTGGTTTGTAAATGATGAAAAATATTATGCAGCTTAACTATTCAGAGGTATTTCCGGATGACACAACTATTTTCTCACCATCGGGATACCCTCATGTACAATTTTTCTTATCGTTTTTTTGGAGAATAGATGTGAAATTCAGTCGAATTATTCACGAGCTCTATCAGGATTAAGTGGTCGTTTACGTAATGCTCTGGCAAAAACAACGGGTGGGTAAGTTTTTCAAAAATACAATTAACAACCATTTTGCTTCCTTCAGACATTTACAATTATGAACATTTAAAAGATAATGATCAGTTGTATATGCTGAATTATGTCTTATAGTCACTTGTGTGTGATATTTGCTGTTGTACAGGGATACCTTAGTTTCTCGCCTGAGTTCAAGCTTTTGACTTCCGAGTTTATCCTCTCTTTCTGTAGTCAGTTCTTCAGATAAATGGCTGATAGCCAGACTTCAGTTTTACTACATCCAGTAATTTTTGTATAAAAACATACATGAAATTAAATGTTTTTCACCTATTATGAAGAATAATTTATTTATTATATGATGTAATTGGAGACGCTAGGATTTTATGTGACCAGTAAACTAGGCAATAAACAAAATATAAATGATGATTTTAATCAAGCTCGCACATCCTTGGCAGTACAGTAATTTTTCTTAATCACTGCCATCTACGGAAATAAAACATATTAGATACAAAGTAATCTGTGTAAAACCATATGGTACCATTCTGTTTTTCAAATACCAGACACAGCTTAGTACTATGTAATTTAAATACTTCTTCAGCATGTCGCTTCCAGAATACGATATTAATCCATTCAGTCGATTAAAAATCCGCCAGATAATAAATACTCGAGATTGGCTGAGAAATGTTTTCATTTTAATAAGTTTTGCTATCGACACACCAAAGCTGTTTTCCTAGGCGGTTCCGATATCTCCAACTACTACGCGTCAACTGGAGCGCTAGAGTGAAGGCTCGAAGTTCGACTAAAAGCTTTACTCTTAGGTTCTTTTATTTATAGAAAACGAGGATATTTATAGAATCGCACGCGACATTAGACATATTAGCAGTATAAGTAAATGTGTAATCAAAATAGTGGCCCATGAATTTGCTTTTTGTAGATTTTTTTGCAAAGATTCTATTCAGCACTGATAGAATAAAACGTTTCCTGGCGTTTCTGGGCCTCTAGAATCTTTGGCATTAGATTTTTTGGGACAACAACACATTTCCAAAGAGTGAAATATACACCAATAGTGGCTTAATCTTTTCAAAGGATATGTGTCAATATATATCTGATTATACATATATGTAGATTCGATTGGTTAGTAAACTTTCTCACTCTCAGTCTTTTAGCACGAATAGCTAGTTGGTCTCGTGTATAGACAGATTGCATATCAACTGTCAGACAACGCACGTCACATTATATATATAATGCTTATGCGCTAATTCACTACTTCGCAACTTCAGTAAAATGAATGAGACTTGTTTCTTCTTCTCTGATCTGTTAACTAGAATGAAAAGTCTACTTTCTGTATGAAAACTTTATTGATGGAGTTCTCAAAAGAATCATTATTCATATTGCAGTTACAATTATTAAAATTTATGGATTGAATAATTTCCACGACTGGAATATACTAAAATTTAAAGAATGTGGATTATTCTAAATAATTTGTTTAACAAAACGCGTTAAAATTGAGCGAATGAAAATAACCTTAAATTGATATGTAAAATCAAGATTGATTTACTTCACTGTATGTTGTATTTAGAGACTACACATTTCCAACAAACTGATATCTTCTAAAAAACCATTAAAAGTCAGGTAGTGTTGGGATTTTAACATTATCAACCATTTCTGCCAGCTTGACATAGTGGTCGGGTTCGCTTATTGTGATTATCCCAGTCGAGGCGTATTGGGGAATTCGTTCTAGTAACATCAATTTTTAAAATGAACTCTCAGATTTTTCTGTTAAAACTTATTCACATAACACATAAATAGTTGGTTCTTCTTTTCTCTTAAATGTGCAATCTTTATCTTCAAAATGGTTACTTCCTTACGCCTGTTATTCCCGTTGGAGCATAGGCCGCCGACGAGCATTCTCCAACCCACTCTGTCCTCGGCCTTCCTTTCCAGTTCTATCCAACTTTTGTTCACTGACCTCATTTCTGACTCCATTTCTCGACGTAATGTGTTCTTTAGTCTTCCTCCTTTCATTTCGCCTTGAAGATTTCATATGATGAGGGCTTGCCTTGTGCCGCAGTTGACTGCTTTCCTCAAAGTGCCTCTGCTGGGTAATTCAGAAAAATATCCCAAAAATTATCCTGTTGAGTCTAATGTTATCCTTGAACGTGAAATGGTGTCGTTTTTCTATTGGTCAATACTTAATTACTGCGTTATTTCCCTATTCCATCATATTTATTTCACGTGTTGTTTCGCTACTGGTCAACATTTATTTTACATGTCGTTTTCCTATTGGTCAATATCCACGGTAGTCCTAACTGCATAAATATGCATTTGTCTGTAAAGTATTATTCTTATTCTTCTCCTGACTCTATAAACAGTTTTCGTCTACCGTTCGTGTTCTGATATATTGGAGATTGGGGAACAGTATTGGGGTCGTACTGGGATATCTGAAGTTGGTCAGTCGGTAGAAATAATGGTAGCCACCTCGCGGTAAACAATAATTTGGTGACGGCGATTTAGCAAGCAAGTTGGTGACTAACTATGGATCCAGCCAAATTAGAAAAATTGTTCGAACAACATCTGAAGCTGATGGATATGATTACTCAGGCTCACATATCTTCTCGAGTCCCAATTACACCGACAATCCCTCGATCAGTTGATGGTATTACCAGTGGCATTTCAGAATTTCTTTATGATCCTGATGCCAATATTACATTTGATACTTGGTTTAGGCATTATGAAAACCTTTTCAAAGTTGACTTTGCTGACAGAGATGATTCGTGGAAGGTGCGTCTTCTCCTTTGGAAACTTGGTCCATCCGAGATGGACAAGTATTGCAACTTCATTCTACCTCAGAGCCCACGCGACCGTTCCTTCGACACCACTATTCAATCTCTTAGCAAAATTTTTGGTGATCATCATTCACTTTTCAATACTCGATATCGCTCCTTTAAACTGGTCATAAATGAGTCCGATGACTTCTTGACCCACGTCGGCGTTGTCAACCGTGAGTGCGAACGGTTCAAGCCCAGATCCCCCACTGAAGATCAATTCAAGTCCCTAGTACTCATATGCAGTCTTCAATCACCCAAATTCTCCGACATTAGAACTCGGTTGCTTAACCGCCTTGAACAAGACCCAACACTGACACTCAATGTGATCATAGACGAGTACCAACACATCACCAATCTGCAGTGTGACACCACTTTGGTTCAGTCTGAGGGCCAGGGTGGTTCCGAAGTTCATGCTGTTTAGCACCAGAAAAAATCTTCGAAATCTACAACCTCGAGTCCTTCGAACGCCAGCGCTGTTTCTGTCTCTAATCACTCCAAAACGGCTCAGAAGAAGCCCCCTCGCCATGTTGGCACTGTGGAGCCTGGCATTATGTGAAGTTTTGTCCATTCAAACAGCATGTGTGCGGTCGTTGCAAATCCAACCGATCCAATAACCATCGAAATGCACAGACGCAGCGTCATTTTCCCAAAAAACCGATTACCACATCAAGGAGTTTAGCAGCAATCTCCCACAATCATGCTGCGACTCGACGCACATTTCTGACTCTCTCAATGGTCACCCAGTTCGGTTTCGGTTGAATACTGCATCAGATATCACTATTCTGTCGAAAAAGACTTAGCGAACCTTGGGCCAACCTCCTATCAAACCATCCTCTCAGACAGCCGTCAGTGCCTGTGGGGGTCATCTCCGCCTTCATGGTGAACTCTATTGCTGCATTTCATTCAGAGGTACAACCTTCAGTGGGACGTGCTACATCACCAATTCTCCGCTCAACCTTTTAGGTTTAGATTGGTTTGAAGAACTTGGTCTCGCTGATCATCCCATTAGCGCTATCTGCAATCAAGTACAAACTACTGCCTCTACACAACAGCATGCTGCAGACCGTCAAAAACGATTTATTGAACTCTCAGCCTGGTCTCGGACTTTGTTCCACGACGGAAGCTGTTTTAAGACTGCAGCCAGAAGCTACGCCAGTTTTTCGCCCAAAACGTCTAGTTCCGTACGCATCTCTACCTCTGGTTGACGCCGAACTTCAACGTTTGGAAACTGAGGGTGTTCTAGTACTTGTTTCTTATTGATCATGGGCTGCACCAATTGTGGTTGCAAACAAATCCAATGGTTTCATACGCATCTGTGCAGACTTTTCCACAGGACTCAACGCGGCTCTACAACAACATCACTATCCGCTGCCGATCCCAGATGACTTATTTACTATTTTAAATGGTGGTACCTACTTTGCTAAGCTGGATCTGGCGGATGCTTACTTCCAAATTCTAGTCGCTGTAGAATCGAGAGAGTTGTTGACAATCAAAACTTACCGAGGACTTTTTCATTATACTCGGTTACCCTTTGGTATCAAAACTGCTCCATCGATCTATTCTGGCAGATGCTCCTGGTATTGCTACTTACCTTGACGATGTCCTCATTGTCGACTCAACTGCTGATGAATTACATACCAGAATCCACTTAGTTCTACATTGCCTAGAGAATAATGGCTTTCGCCTTCGCCCAGAAAAATGCCAGTTCTTCTTACACCAGGAGCATCTGCCAGAATAGTATCCATGATCTGCTGGAAGATCGATGGAGCAGTTTTGATACCAAAGGGTAACCGAGTATAATGAAAAAGTCCTCGGTAAGTTTTGATTGTCAACAACTCTCTCGATTCTACAGCGACTAGAATTTGGAAGTAAGCATCCGCCAGATCCAGCTTAGCAAAGTAGGTACCACCATTTAAAATAGTAAATAAGTCATCTGGGATCGGCAGCGGATAGTGATGTTGTTGTAGAGCCGCGTTGAGTCCTGTGGAAAAGTCTGCACAGATGCGTATGAAACCATTGGATTTGTTTGCAACCACAATTGGTGCAGCCCATGATCAATAAGAAACAAGTACTAGAACACCCTCAGTTTCCAAACGTTGAAGTTCGGCGTCAACCAGAGGTAGAGATGCGTACGGAACTAGACGTTTTGGGCGAAAAACTGGCGTAGCTTCTGGCTGCAGTCTTAAAACAGCTTCCGTCGTGGAACAAAGTCCGAGACCAGGCTGAGAGTTCAATAAATCGTTTTTGACGGTCTGCAGCATGCTGTTGTGTAGAGGCAGTAGTTTGTACTTGATTGCAGATAGCGCTAATGGGATGATCAGCGAGACCAAGTTCTTCAAACCAATCTAAACCTAAAAGGTTGAGCGGAGAATTGGTGATGTAGCACGTCCCACTGAAGGTTGTACCTCTGAATGAAATGCAGCAATAGAGTTCACCATGAAGGCGGAGATGACCCCCACAGGCACTGACGGCTGTCTGAGAGGATGGTTTGATAGGAGGTTGGCCCAAGGTTCGCTAAGTCTTTTTCGACAGAATAGTGATATCTGATGCAGTATTCAACCGAAACCGAACTGGGTGACCATTGAGAGAGTCAGAAATGTGCGTCGAGTCGCAGCATGATTGTGGGAGATTGCTGCTAAACTCCTTGATGTGGTAATCGGTTTTTTGGGAAAATGACGCTGCGTCTGTGCATTTCGATGGTTATTGGATCGGTTGGATTTGCAACGACCGCACACATGCTGTTTGAATGGACAAAACTTCACATAATGCCAGGCTCCACAGTGCCAACATGGCGAGGGGGCTTCTTCTGAGCCGTTTTGGAGTGATTAGAGACAGAAACAGCGCTGGCGTTCGAAGGACTCGAGGTTGTAGATTTCGAAGATTTTTTCTGGTGCTAAACAGCATGAACTTCGGAACCACCCTGGCCCTCAGACTGAACCAAAGTGGTGTCACACTGCAGATTGGTGATGTGTTGGTACTCGTCTATGATCACATTGAGTGTCAGTGTTGGGTCTTGTTCAAGGCGGTTAAGCAACCGAGTTCTAATGTCGGAGAATTTGGGTGATTGAAGACTGCATATGAGTACTAGGGACTTGAATTGATCTTCAGTGGGGGATCTGGGCTTGAACCGTTCGCACTCACGGTTGACAACGCCGACGTGGGTCAAGAAGTCATCGGACTCATTTATGACCAGTTTAAAGGAGCGATATCGAGTATTGAAAAGTGAATGATGATCACCAAAAATTTTGCTAAGAGATTGAATAGTGGTGTCGAAGGAACGGTCGCGTGGGTTCTGAGGTAGAATGAAGTTGCAATACTTGTCCATCTCGGATGGACCAAGTTTCCAAAGGAGAAGACGCACCTTCCACGAATCATCTCTGTCAGCAAAGTCAACTTTGAAAAGGTTTTCATAATGCCTAAACCAAGTATCAAATGTAATATTGGCATCAGGATCATAAAGAAATTCTGAAATGCCACTGGTAATACCATCAACTGATCGAGGGATTGTCGGTGTAATTGGGACTCGAGAAGATATGTGAGCCTGAGTAATCATATCCATCAGCTTCAGATGTTGTTCGAACAATTTTTCTAATTTGGCTGGATCCATAGTTAGTCACCAACTTGCTTGCTAAATCGCCGTCACCAAATTATTGTTTACCGCGAGGTGGCTACCATTATTTCTACCGACTGACCAACTTCAGATATCCCAGTACGACCCCAATACTGTTCCCCAATCTCCAATATATCAGAACACGAACGGTAGACGAAAACTGTTTATAGAGTCAGGAGAAGAATAAGAATAATACTTTACAGACAAATGCATATTTATGCAGTTAGGACTACCGTGGATATTGACCAATAGGAAAACGACATGTAAAATAAATGTTGACCAGTAGCGAAACAACACGTGAAATAAATATGATGGAATAGGGAAATAACGCAGTAATTAAGTATTGACCAATAGAAAAACGACACCATTTCACGTTCAAGGATAACATTAGACTCAACAGGATAATTTTTGGGATATTTTTCTGAATATCTGAGCTCTCTCCAATTGTAGGTTGTTGCTGATAATGTCTGGCCAACACATCCTAATATTTTGCGTAGATAGCTGTCAGTAAATACTTGTATTTTCTGAATGATGGCTTTCGTATTTCTCCAGCTTTCCGCCCCATACAGCATAACTGTCTTGACATTTGAATTGAAAATTCTGACCTTGGTGTTGGTTGACATTTGTTTTGAGTTCCAGATGTTCTTCAGTTGTAAATATACTCCTCTTGCTTTACCGATCCGCTCCATCACATCTGCATCAGATCCACCATGTTCATCAATGATGTTAACCAGATATGTAAAGATTTTCACATCTTCCAAATCTTCTCCGTCAAGTGTGATTCGAATGTTGCATTCTGTGTTGTATCGGAGAATCTTGCTTTTCCGTATATGTATGTTAAGAGACCTACTGCTACTGAGGATGCAGTTACACTGGTCATCTTCACCTGCATTTGTTGTTAATCTTTAGAATGCACACCTTTCAAAACAAAATTGTCTATTATATATTCTTTATTTTTTATAGCACAGTTCATACAGCTTGGTTACGAATAGCTAATGCTATTGAAATAGAATCAAAATTACATGAAAAATTTGTTCAAAATTTATTAAATGATTTAATTAAACCATTGAATCATTTAATTGAAATATATAAAAAGAATAAAAAATCAGTAAGTATTACTCTTCTATATTCATATCATGATTGATATGTTGTACGTTTTTGTTTTGTAGGTTAGAAACATTAAACGTTTTATTATTTGAAGAGTTTTCATATGGATATTATAGTTATTTCGATGGTTGAGATCATGTTTGTTTTATTTGAACACATAAGTACTGGTACAAGGAGGCACCAGATATATATATATATATATACGCGTGACCATATGAGAGCATTTCGAGAGGGAGAGCGGACTCTCCCCACTCTTGGCTGTACTAGGGCATTTGGGAGCGTTGAGATCATGAGTCGATTGAAGTTTGGTTGTCCAGTGATTTCAGGTTTTTCATGATATTGATCTAGTTTTAATTGACTCATGATCTCAACTTTTAAATTTTTTGTTTAAAAATATTTGTTCACATTCCTATCATATTGTATCATATAGATGAATTATTTGATGAAATTTCATGCACATAGTTCCGTTTATTACCTTAAAGATTGAAGATTGAAGATTGATGCAGAATAATATGAATTCATTCTATTTGATTAGGTTCTTATCAACTGTTTACAACCTAAAATCAACGTTATTACAGATATTGACATACTTATATGTACGACGATGATTACAGATGGATAAATGTATTATGATGTTGCGAAAATTTCAATAAGGTTAATGAGATCATTAAAATGGTTGGTTGTTTCGAATAAATAAAGTTTGAGAGAGAATGTTCCAGAACATTGAAATAGCAATCAGAACTCATGAAGTTAACAAACATTAGATAATTGTGTAATGAAGCAATTGAAGATAAATTAACGGTATTAAAGAAAGATATGAATTGAAATCATTCAGTTAATGATATGAATTAAAGAAAAATGACAATGTTAGCGGGACATAGACTAGATTAAAGCATGCTCAATTCATGATTGCTTTGGTGCACGCTGATTGGCTAATTCTTATCCAATCAGCGCTAGTCGATAGTTGGAGAATATTTTGGATTTGTCTTATGTAAAAACTATAAATATACTGACGTTTTTTCCCTATTGTGCTTCCTACTGGCTTCTGACTTGCTATTTGGAATATAATCTTTTCCTGTTCAACCGTGTTCTGATTTGGGGACTTGTCGAGTGAATCGGTGTCCGAGAATACTAAGCAATAGGAATAGCTGGGTCATTAACCTGTAAGAAGAAACAGAGTTATAACAGACAATAATGTAATTTAAACTTCAGAAAGAGTTGAATTAATGAATGACGTAACAAACAAACAAAAAAAGTGGGGGGGTTAATGTTGTTACTACGGCAAAGAAAAATTTATTACTCTCTTTTTTTTGTATACATAGATTTGGTTTTAGACGTTGGATTGCAATAACAATGTTCAATATTCTGGAACTTTCTCTTCCAAACTTTATTTATCCGAAACAAACACTTTTTTAATGACTTTACTAACTTGATTGAAATCTTCGCTACATCATAATACATTTATCCATCTGTAATCATCGTCGTACATATAAGTATGTCAATATCTGTAATAACGTTGATTTTCAAATGTTTTTAGGTTGTAAACAGTTGATAAGAACCTAATCAAATAGAATGAATTCATATCATTCTATATCAATCCTCGTTCTTGCTCTCCTTAAAAATTATTTTGTCTTGTAGTTAGTTTTGAAATGTATCATGTTGAAACAATGAATGGTATAAGTACACTATACTGACAAACCAATAAGATTTAAGATGGCCGCTTTTGGTTCTTTGCGCCAAATTCAGAATTCAGTGTATGATAGCTTGTTTCTTTATGAAAGCTAAGTAAATATTATCAATATTTAGCTACTAAAATGATTAAATTTGATGAAAAGATTAAAGAATGAGAATATGGTTTATGAATTTGTTAAGATAACATGAATGTTCTTGATTTTTTTTAAATCGAAGAACTTATTCCATCAGTATCTCTCAATATGGTTCTGCAGAGAATTTGTCTACTCTATTTATAATCAGTACTCCGGATTCCTAACTGGTCTCTTAATCTTAAATTTTAGATCTGACTTAACTCTCCTAATTCGGAATCCAGAAGTTAACCTAAACTGCTATGCTTTGTATGTATTTATGTAACACATTTTATTCATCTCTATCACTTATATTCTTATTGGTTAAAAATTTCCCTTCCTATGATCATTTAAATCACATTAAAGGTCATCAGTAAAACATATTTTTAATGACAAAAAGGGACTAAGAAAAGCATAGATTAGTGAAAGCTCTGATTGATGTATTTATTATATACTGCCATTAATTCGTAGGCGAGATATCCGTCAATCGACCAAAGGACGGGTTTACTGCGCTGTAATTCGTTCCGTCCTACTTTATGGCTGTGAAACATCGTCGGTAAGAGTAGAGGATATTCGTACGTTACTAGTATTCGATCATAGGTGTCTTTGAATAACATCTTCAAACCTTAATGTTTCCAATTACTGCTTATACTTTTACTACCTCTACCACTATGGGATTTGAATTGACCATTGTATCTCTGTGCTAATGTGGTGTGGCAACTCGAATCGATGTACGTACGTACGAAGTTCTATGTTGTTGCCGACCGACTGAGTAATACAGGCTAAATAAGTCAGGTCGAAAAATAACATACGTTACTCCTTTTTAACTGAAAGATTACTTTGGACGAATTGTTATTAACAACAAGTGCTTCATTAATTACATGACGCGTACTATTAGACGTTATTTACACAACCATGTATTGATTAGATTTAAAGTTGTATACCGTTAGTCGCCGGCTCAGGGATCTAAAAGGTATGTGTTTGTGTGTCAAGCTGAACATCCTGGGTTCAATTCCTGGTGATCAGTTTTTAAATGTGGACTGATGAGGAGTTTCATACTAGTACGAAACAACTCCCTAATGTTTCATGATTTCTAATGATTGTCTAAGATCAATCCATGATGTAAACTGCAAAGCTGAACTATCTCCACAAATCTTTCATACTATTCATCAAAATGCATTTTATTCCTATACTACTGCTATTTCATATTGACTTCTTTTTAGTTAATTTCTTTTTCTACCTTCTTTTTTTCGAAGCTAAAAAAATGTATCGACAAAGAAACGAATAATTTATTCTCTTTGTACGAAATGGAATTTCATGCCAGACATAAATTATTTACATGTTTTCGTAATTATGAACGTGTTTGTTACAACTATCACATACAATCAAAGGATCAGCAAAACCAATTAAGTCGAACTATTCAATCTAATAATGATATACAGAAAAAGCGTAGTTTAAGCATGAATCGATTTGATACATCTAGTCTATCGACTATGGACTCGACAAATAACAGTTTATTATCAGATCATTATTCATCGATTCGACGAAATTCTATTGATGTTGACACTAAAGTAATAACGACAACTCTCGAATCATATGACACAACGACAACAACAACAACATCAAATCTACTAAGTTTTAAGGATACTGATAGTTCAACGAGTCCATATTTTGCTTCACGATCCAGTACTTTGTATACTTCTCTACCCCATAAGAAAAATCCAAACATTATTCGATATCATAGCAGTTTGTCGTCGAGAAATGGAAGAAAATTTTTAACAATAGATAAGGTTTGAAGTTTTTTTCCAATACACTTTGATAACTTATATGCATACTTATCACTTATCCATATGTTTCTTGGTGGTCTTTTATTTACTGAATATTTACATTTATCATATTATCAGTAGTTCAACTTTATTGTAGATAGCATGAGAATTCATAGCTGATCTCTTCTCATGACTCTTCTAACTGAGTAGAAGCTGGTCTAATGTTGGCAGGTATTGTTTAAATTCTATTGACCTATGATCTCTTCTCAAAAAAGAATTTTTGATATATCTGGCGGATTTCCTACATTTATGTAGGAATCTCTTAAATGTGTTGTACTGGTTTCTTCCTCGTGGAGTCGAAGCCGATCAACTCAGAAGAGATTACTTTCGTGTGAGATGACTTAATATACTTCAATTGAAGGGGTATCAGCATGTATTAGCTGACGCAACTCTATGGTAAGCAAGCCGAGCAAAACAACTCCGATCTACACAAGTATTGTCCATTCTAGTTTCCGAATTGACAAGACCACACCTAAACGAATTTTTTAAAATCATTTATTGTTCCACGATGTGGGCAACAGGGGATCTATAACTGCCCTCATACTCCATCCAGATATTTAGAAAAGATCTTTGTGATCAATTTTTAATGAATTATGATCAGGATCTTCTCATAGTTGCACAGATGATACCCAAATAAACATAATTCGACATTGGGCACAAAACTTACAACATTTTAGGGAAAATATTATCTGTTCCATCCCTATCATTCCGTTTGATTATTGTTATTGTATTTCGCGATATTTAAAATTTTATTTACCACTTCCATAGAAATTATATGACTCTGATATGATACACTGTGAAGTACATTAGAGTTAGCATATATAAGTTTTCTGTCTACATTGTCTGAAGTGTGTAATGGAATATACCGTTTTTTCTCCATCCTTTCTTTACATTTCGCCATACCTCAATATAACTCTAAGACCGCCTAAAAATATAAAGGCCAAAACTATACTACTATGCATTTCAAATTAAGTCTGACGATATTGCATAGCTGTTTATACTTTATTAAGTTGAATATGATTCGAACTTACATCCTAATGAATGAAAATGAAATACTTTTACTATTAAATTAAAGATCCATAAAATATACTATTTAGTTTTAAATAGTTCATTTCAATTTCTTATGTTTTAAATAGTGTTATCATACACTTTCTTTAAAAAGAACAACTTCATTTGGAAATAAGTGCCAACCTGTCAATCAAATACGTTTTTCCTAACGATTTTATTCTTGTTTATTGGAGGTTTAGCTATATTCTCAAATGGATCCCTATTATTGTAACATAATTAAATATTTATCTAAAATTATTAAACAAATCTAGACAAATCATGAAACATGAATCACAGTGAAATAGATTACATAACTACATATAACAGCTGAAAAGTACAAATCGGTAGTAAGAAAACATGTGTACTAGTAGTAGTAATACGTATAATAATAATATATCGAAAGTCCTAGTCAACAGCGCAACATAGAAAGTAGGTAAAACTTGGATACGTAGATATTATTAAAAGTACGTAAGAAGTGTATAAATCATTAGATTTTTGATTGAGATCATGAACCGATTGATGTTAGACCGCCGTTGGAAACCTGGAAGCACGGGACGACTGTTTTGTCCTATTGTGCGACTCAGCAGCGTGCATCCACGATCCTGCTCGCGGGATTCAAACCCAGGGCTTTCAGTCTCGCGCGCGAACGCTTAACCTACTAGACCACTGAGCCGGCATCCAATGGTGTTAGTGTCTAACATCAACCGACCCACGAAATTGCGCAACCATCTTCCATTGTACTGAGGTAGATACCTGTCTCTATCCGACACTTATTAGCTCCACTGGTCACGGCTTATCACTAGAACTCCGAGAATTCCAAGCTTCCAACGGTGGTTTAACATCAATCGGTTCATGATCTCAATCAGAAACTTAACAATCTCCACAACCCCTTTACTGGAAATCATTAGATATTGAAGAATACAAATAGAAATAGGTGAAAAACGACAAACAAATACGGGATGTGAGAATGAACGAAGTCGTTTATTAAGTGACATCTGTCCAAAAATAGGATAGGAGTGTCACGAATTTCTTTCGAACTCATAAACCAATGCTGTAGGTTCGGATTCCTATATGAGATGGGATCGAACCCCATTGGAAAATGATGAAGATAATGTGAAAAATCAATCAAAATGATCTGGTTTCATCTTCCTCATAACTACTGTCAACCACATGTGCTAGGATACAGCTGCGTATTGTCTTTGTCTGGCCTGATGAGAATTTAATTGATTCCACTGAATCTCGTTGTCTACTCCACACAGTTACATATCAGTTAACTAATATAAAATATTGACAATTGAATAATAAACGAGATGAATTTATACGTCAGTACATCATAACATTTTTTGATGTCAGTATACTCTAAGATAAGGTTATTACTACTAGAAAATTCTAATGGTAACTTCAATCCTAGAATGAAGTAACTAGTCAGCTCTCTGTAGTTTTCAATGTTATCTCAGCTAAGGATAATCCTTGATGAACACGACGTAATATTCATCAAAAGTATTTCATCTTATTTTACACTCTGGCTCCATATCTACGAGTATCTTTTTACACTTTTTTATTTGTAGTGGATGATTTGTTGAATCTTCCCACTGATGTTTAAAACTACAATTGACTAGTCTGTTTTAGTTATATGTGCAAATTATGAAGAAAACCTCGATATCTTCATAAAGTTACAAGCTTTATAAACAGGTGTGGATGGTGTCTAGCTGGGAAGACAGAGACTGGTCAATCGCAGTCCTAAATAAAAATGTGAAGATTCAAGCAATCAATACAAAAGTGAATTAAATTTCACCCCATTACATAAGCCAATGGCTATTTGAACTCAGTAGCTAAGTGGATAATACGATGGCGTTTAATGCAAACTATACTAGATTGAAGTTATGGAGTGAACATCAACTCTGGGATGCACGTATATCAAGGTGACGAGTCCCAAATAAGACATAATGTCCTTCCTGAATTCCACTGCTAACCACCATCCATCTTCATTTACAGTTTTCGTCGTATTAATCATCATCATCAGTTGTTTTTCTGTTTATCTGTCTGTCTCAATATTTTTATGAATATCACCATGTTGATTAAGAAGTATACAAATTTCTTCGAATGTTATTCAACTAAAAAATGGATTTTATTAATTTTGAGTTTGTTAATTTTTGTTTTGTAGTTGAAAGATGCCTATAATACAACCCTAACTCACTATTATCGAACATGTCTGTCAGCTGAAGAAGCTAGAATTGATTGGCATTCAAGAATTTTGAAAGTAAGTTGACATTTTTAAACTCATATATCACATATTTAAGAAAACTCAGAAGAGGGAATTCATTTATCGTATATATATCATTTACTCAGGCTGTACAATCGTATTTATAGTTTAGTTTAGTTTAGTTTACGCCTGTTACTCCCAATGAAGCATAGGCCGCCGACCAGCATTCTCCAACCCACTCTGTCCTGGGCCTTTTCTAGTTCCATCCAATCCTTGTTCATTTTTCGCATGTCTATCTCCATTTCTCGGCGTAATGTGTTCTTTGATCTTGAGGGTTCCATGTGAGGGCTTGTCTTGTGACGCAGTTGGGTGCTTTCCTCAATGTGTGTCTTATCCACTTCCAGCGCTTCTTCCTAATTTCTTCCTCCTCTGGGATCTGGTTTGTTTTTTCCCACAGTTAGTTGTTGCTAATAGTGTCCGGCCAATGGATCCGAAATATTTTGCGTAGGCAACTGTTAATAAACACCTGTATTTTCTGGATGATGGCTTTCGTAATTCTCCAGGTTTCTGCCCCATACAGTAGAACTGTCTTGACATTTGTATTGAAAATCCTGACCTTGGTGTTGGTTGACAGTTGCTTTGAGTTCCAGATGTTCCTCAGTTGTAACTATGCTGCTCTTGCTTTTCCGATCCGTGCCTTCACATCTGCATCAATCGTATTTATAGCTAATTTACATTTAAAATAGTCTACCGGATGATATGAGAAAATGTTTTAAGAAAGACTTCGTTTTGGATAGCTTATGTAACCCTGCTCCAAAATAGCAAATGAACTTATAAATACACATTGATAGGGTCCAATGTGAGGTTGTATCCTTGACACTAAGGATGGGGCGTCTGAAAAGGATAATATGAAGCTTGGAAATACTAAAAGTTCTCGTCGAAGATTTTGTCAGACCTTTCTTCAAAATTTCCTCGTCAGTATCTCCCCTGAACTCAATGTGTTTTTTCATATATGTATGTGAGAGTTTAACTCAAATCAACAAATCATTCAACATAACAAACAACTCAGTTCGTACTGGTAATATGTAAATCTCAAACTATATTATGATTATCTCCCCACATCACCAAAACTTTTAATTTCATTGATTCACATAATATCAGAGGATAAAAAAGATGGTCTGCAATTGATTGATCGAGTGAAAAGAACAATAATCTGAACAAATACTTTATTCGGTCAATACATAATAGAAGTTGTCAGAAAATAGTCGAACGTTATGGTGAACAGTTATCGGACTGAGTTAATCCTTAGACTCACTATTGTTCTCTTTCCATTACATTTTTAAGTCGATACATTCAACAGTTGATTTTAATTTTTAAATGGGAAGAAAGTATACACAAATGCTTGTTTAGGGGTATAGAACGTGTGTTCAAATGTTATTTCTCGTCAAGGTTACTTTCAGCAGCTATATTTCTGTGCAGTAATTCAGACTACAGTGTGTGGCGGTAAGAATTCAACACGCCTATTTTCTTACCTCGAATTTATATTTATATGACTCATTTGCGTAGTACGAGTTTATGTTACAATGTTTTTGCGAGGATTTAGTTGTACTACTGAACTGCTTAAACGGTCTCGTGCGCAAACGCTTAACCTCTAGATCAGTGAGTTGATATCCAACGGTGTTAATGTCTAACCTCAAGCAATCAGTTCATAATTTCGATGAAATTCAACAATCTCTACAACCCCTCACAATTATCACGTGCTCACTAGGGACTAACTTCGAGAAGAAATTTCCGAAGTTCTTGTAGGAAACCGTGGCCAGTGGAGCTAATCCGTGTTGGGTGTGAAGCAATCACCCGCCAAAGACAACAAAAGATGGTGGCACTATGTCGTGGATTGATTGAGGCTAGACATTAACACTGTTGTGTGCTGGCTCACTTGTCTAGATGTTAAACGTTTGCGCGTGATACCTAAGATCTTGAGTTCGATTCTTATGTACGTGATCATTGATATCTACTGTTCTAACGAAACTTCTATCGAGTGCTTTCAAGTTCTCCATAGTAGTTTAACATGAATCAATTCATGATTTCAATGAAATTCAACTATCTTCATGGATCCATATTAAATATTTCTTTTTCATCATTACCTTTACTACCTTTGTTATTATAAAATCATAATTTAAAATTTATAATTATTAATTTCTTTTACAGTGTCTTAATCATCAACAAATATTAGAAAATGATCGTTTGAATAGTTTAACTAATGGTTTAACAGTTTATCGTAATACTTTAGATGATACTTTACCAACATGGAAAGCTGTTATAAATGAAGTAGCTGTATGTATATTCATTTATTTTGTTGTTTATTTATTTATTTTATTTTAACACATAGATATTGGTACATGGAGGCACCAAATAAATATGCGCCACACAAATCTCATTTGATATGTGTGAGGGCTGTGATACTGCCCGGGTATCCAAACCGAAGCAGGTGGTTTTCTTAGGGGGCCACACCCGGAGCCTTCTACCTGAAGGTCTGACCCACAAGGCAGTGGAGCAACGTAAGGAGATGCAGTCCATGGTAGCCGGTGACCAACGATTGGTTCATATGCCATTTGTTCCTTTAGGATACTGGAGCCCATGTGCACCATTGGTTTCGAATGAGGGTTTTCCAACTCCCCTAGGTGAACTCTCCATGTCCATCAACCTGGTTAAAGCGCCGGACGTTCGCTTTTCGTCCTCTCAATTTCGTAAACAACAGTAATGCCACGAGATAGCATTGAGTAGGACTTCCCTTGCAGAGGCTATATACGCGTGGCCATGTGAGAGCATTTCGAGATGCAGAGCGGACTCTCCCCACTCTCAGGCATACCAGGGGATGGTTTACAGAACAGAAAATGAAATTAATCAGTCTATTTAACAGCTTATATAATTATAATTAGTAACGATTGTTTAATATATAATCCAGTTTGTGATGTTTAGATTAAAAGAATAAGGACGCAAACATGTATGAATAACAAATGGGTCAAATCGATGTGTATTTGTTTGTTGTCTATTTCTTATTCCTGGCACAATGTGTTCTTTAGTCTTCCTCTTCTCCGTTTATCCTCAAGTTAAAAACGCTAACTAGGTGATGTTATATTTACTAGTAATCACGACCAAGATAAGAGAATTAATGTCAGTGTAGTGAAATTGATAGTAGATTACGTAATCACTCAGAATAATGAGAAATAAGGTCGAATAAATATGCAAACATCAAAAATAGATCAATAACACTCCGATGTCACTTTTAATAGCAACTGTGAATTTACATGTGCCGGCGGTAGCATGTATATAGGAAAGACAGAGAGAATGGTTTTTACTAAGTTTTCTGAACACATCCTTAGGTTCCTATGCCTAAACACGAGTGCAACTTCAAAGCATTACTAAACTCATTCAATTTCATTTTCCATTCTTCAAACCTTGTTCTTTATCTCTATTTATATTTATTCATTGCATAATACCATATTGCTAACAATTTTGTATAGAATTTTATATATACGAATGGTGAATAACAGTATAAACCGAGAATATTTGTGCTTCGCCCTATTTTGGACTCATCAGTTCAATTTACTTATATCCCCATGGTTGATGTTTACACCGAAACGTATCCGTCCTATTAAACTACACTGAATCCCGACAGCCACTAACGTATGCAACCGATGTGGGATTTAGTTGTATTTGAAATGGTTATTTATATTTTGGACTCGGTGGATAACACAATGGCATCTTAAACAAATGGTACTCGGATCGAGTGCCTGAGTGAATGAATGGCAAATCTGGGATGCAGGTACATCTAGCTGAGAAGCCCTAAATAAACCGAAGTTCGCATCCCGAATTCCACTTCTAGCCACATTTTATCTAGTCTATATTATTTTGTATCGTAACGGCTATGTCGAGGCAATTCGTACAGATACCTATAAGCCAACCAAGACTGATCAAATTTCAGTCAGAAATATCAGTAACGCGATAATCCTAAGCATTTCAAATAATTCAATCTACTTCTGAAGTGTTGACGGGGAAACCAGTTGAAAGTTCGATTCCTGAGAAATCTAATTGACTAACATCTCTAAACAATTAATTTTTGGTATTTATAATTCATTTAAACCAACCGAAACTCCTTCGTTTATTTATTGTAAAAATATTTGACAATTCATGATGATTGAGTCTGAACTCTTTGCAAAAATACATATGTCCTCTTTGTCTCTACATTTATTTTAACCGTCTGTTACTGTGGTCTTGAAGTTATGTGTTCACGTGCGAAACCGAAAGTTCTCGACTTGATTTTTTGATGTGGAGTCGTTAATGCATGTCTCCTAAAAGTTCCATACTCGAAGGAAACACCCATCCGGTGCTTCTCGGTGTTCAATTAGCGGTTAAACTGGAATTAGTTCGTGATTTAAATTATGGAAATTTCATCTTTGTTGTTTTCATTTCATGTGCATTTAGAATTTGTGAAAAACATTCGCTTTTTTTCTAATCATTTTTTATATCCTCTTCAATGTTACATTCTCAAAACGATATCCTGTAGCATCTCACTTAACCTCTCTTTAGTACAGAAAGAATACTGATTTCAATTAGCTTTTTATTAGGAAAATTAAATTAACTACTTTCCCAGGTAATTGAATATGAGACACGTTAAGTGCGTAGGGGTTAATGACACTACCAGTTTGCCAAGACCAGAGTAGATATGGCAGGTCTCGAACTCGGGAACTCTTGGCAGCTGTAAAGTTGTATGCCTGAACCACTAAATCAACTTCAATTGTGTGATCATGCTATTAGTGTATCAATTTTACATTCCTCTACGTACATACTGAATATATTATTAATGAAACGTCTAATATTGAAGCAACCAATTGGATTTCCAGTAGATGTCATTTACGCTTGCTTTCAGGTTAAAAGGCTTCATCAAAACGAGAAGCAACCAACTTGGATATGAGAGCTTATAGTGATCTAGGCTTTCAGCCAATTCATCCTAGGTTCCAACCTCTCTTTGCCTTCTTCGGTTTGGATAATTGAGTAGTAGTAACGTTAGCCCTTACAGATTTAGAGCGCCGCATTCTCAAGCACCTGGATGTTATAACTTGTGCCCTGTGTTTTATTAATGTATGACGTACTGATACCGCCAACTGGAGAACAGTAATTTATCAACCAGACCAATGACGCATAAAACCCGTACGATCAGTCTAGAGTCCTTATCGGTCGTGCTTCCCGCCTAGCCCTGCTTCTTAAGTCCAGAACACCAATCTCAGCCCCTGCGATATGAATAATTTATTTCAAACATACTGGGTTGATATACCAACCAGACATACTACATCGTGCCATAAAATAGGAAACAACATTTGTACAAGATTTAGCCAAATATGGCTGTGAATGTGGGAGGTAGTAATTGATAGACTGGGTATAACTCAAGAATGGTAAGTGGTATGATAACAGTTTATAGATCGAAATAAAGCTCATAAGAAGAGGGACATGAATATGAATAGTTTAGTTACTCAACTATTATACGATAAAAATATACGTATAGTATTGGTCCATAGATGGGTCCCATTCATTATTCTCATCGGTATATAACACTGGTGAATGAAGGTTAAAAAAAATAGCTTTTCATATTAGTTTGTAGATGAAATGTGAATCTTGTCTTTATGTTTTTCCATTTTATAGAATGCTATCAGTTTAGCTGATCCATTATTAGATTTACAAAATTTTCGACAACGTTCTCATCATCAAGAAGATTTGTCTCAAATATCACCACAACAATCAACAAATTCAATGAACAAACAAACTGATAGTTCCATAAAATCAAAGAATGTTGGTTGTTCACTTCAACGTCTCATCGATTTACCATGCGAAAATGTGTTACTACAACAAAATCAACTCCATCAGAGTCCATCTAGTCCATCCTCAAAATCACAGGCGTTGAATATTATATGTAGAAGAAAATCTCAAACATCTGTTGACAGAAGTAAATTTTCGTGTTTTGGTTTAAATTTGATCGTAGAATTTTAAGCATTCTTGTTAGTCAAGTATGTAATTATAGTTACTCAACACGTAACCCGGCCAAACCAAAAAGTGGCATCAGTAATTGAAGTCACTAACTTTTAGTCTTAGCCATATTGGTAGATGCCAACCAGTTGGTTGGAATCCGCGTGACTATCATCACTAATGGTTGGAGACTCTGGGTGACATGGCTCATAATCGATCACAATGGCGTCGGTGTATACACTTCCCGTCTTCCCTTAAACTAAGAGATTAAAATCCCTTCCTATCTTTCTTTCTACTAACTAATTCTTTCTTCCTTTACTATGTCCTTATATGCATTCTTTCTTTTATATATTACCACCTCTGAATTAACTACTTCTATGAATCCGGTGTTCATCTTGTTGTGTTAATGAGGTAAGGCAACTTGGACCGATGTATATATGTGCCTGGTCCTACGTTGTAGCTGACTGACTGCCATGCATCCCACTTTCGACTTGTGATACATACTACTTATCCCTGTCAAGATCAGTAGCACACACTACACTAGTAATTTCTGACAGATTCGCATCCTCGATCCATTGACTTTGAGAGTTTCCTATTGACCATCTCCAATCAGTACGTAACATCTCAACATAATGTGTAGTATGTATGTCAGGCCCACATTTGAGTGTATGTATGTGTATTGCTTACCCTATTCATCACATGTCTGTAACCTATTTCTGTCTGGTCACAAATATTAAGTCACGTTTAATCAAATGGAGTTGGCATGTTTGCTTTGACCTGCCTTCGTCGCTTTGTTTCTTTTTCATTCTTGTATTTGACTTATTTCATTCTATTATTCACTAACGCCAATTAAGTCAATAATAATATACGAAGGTTAACGGTATGTTTATTTCATTAACATTCCCATGCAATCTAATTGGAGAGGACTTGTGACGATTGTTGAATTGTGTAGTTTACGATCAGTCTATGATGTAAACTACACAATTCAACAATCGTCACAAGTCCTCTCCAATTAGATTGCATGGGAATGTTAATGAAATAAACATACCGTTAACCTTCGTATCTTAACTGTACTACCATATGAAACTTGCCTAGTCTTAGAATTAGACTTTTTAGTGGTTGTCCATAATGTAGACCATGCCCTCCATACTATCACTAATTACTAATTTCAAGACGTAATTCTCGGGCGTTCTGTTCGGGAGCTTCGATAAATACAGTCCAATTGTTGGGGATGCTAGATCCCTCTTGTTATTACATCTGGGACGCATGGGAATAGCTTAGCTTGTGTTATCGTTTGCTGCTGATCCTTCGTTCACTTCCTCGATTTACATGATCTCGTAATCTCTTCAAACATAGCAACAACCATGTCAAGTATAAGGACCGATAGCATTAAAAGATAGTTGAGGTTTATCATGAATTGATTGCATCACTTTGTATCCCAGTTCGCTGGTCTAAAGCTTAAGTGCTCGTCACCAAACTTTAAAATCCTCTGTTCGACTGGTGCTTTTTGGTGGGAATCGCGGATGGGCACTGCTGAAAAGTCCCATACAAGGACGAAAGAACTGTTCAGCGCTTGCTGGTTTTCAGTGTCTCTTAAACTAATTAGTGGTATCGTATCCAACGAATACTTGGGCAAGAGAAATCATTTCTATTATGCGAAATTATATATACTCATCGTAATGACGCGACCGAGCTATGTTTTTTGAAACAATTGTTTCTTTAGGTCCTACTATGTTAGACAAGTTGATTGGAGAAAGCTACAAGCTCTTAGTCCGACGGTAAAGTCTTTTTTTATTGTACTGAAGTGTGATGACAGTAATTTGTTTCTCTTAGCATCTTCACTGATACTATCTGCTGATAATTAAAGCATAAGATAACATATGATCGATCCTAAAAATTTCATACCTTGCCTTACCCCACAGATTTCCGTTTCCACTGGTTGGGCTTTTTAGAACACAAAACTAGTGTATTAAAAAAATTTTCGCAGAAAGGTCGTGTGTATTCGGAAGTCAGGGAGTGATAACCACCTTCATACTCTTAATAATACTAGTTATTCTTTTGTACGCGATTGAAAATTAGCTTTGTCGAATGTATTGTAATTTAACAGCTTCTTTTTCCCTTTAAGGCAAAGAAAATACTCACATAAAATTCATCAGTTCATCGTCATTATCACCATCATCACCAGTTAGCTTACGTTTAATAATTCAACACTGTTTAAGTAAATCGTCAATATTAACATTAATTGATATGTTAACTAAAGATATTGAAAAAGAACGTCGTACAAAAAGAGGTTAGTTCTATCATGAATTCTTGTCGTTTCAAATTCTTTATATATACTGAAGTTGAATATAAGAAGACTAAAATGCTTGTTTTTGTGTTTCAAATTGATTAGTAATAGTACTAGTAATTTTAGTTCTCATGGTTGTTAACACTTAGTACTTTGAAAGAAATATACGTATGTACTGTCCCTCCCTTTCTGTAGGGACGCTAAATCCTCAGAAATCACTTGCTAAATGTCTTTATTTTAGAAGTTTGAATTTCTTATTTGAGCGCCAAAAGCACCCATTTTTACATTCAAATTGTATTTTCCTTTTGAAAGGACCCTAAATATCATTGATTTGTTCTCTCTTCTATTATGCTATTTTGTGTCATTTACCAAAGAAATTTTTATGTTCTGTATATATACGCTCGAATTGTGTAATTGTTATTGTTCATGCTTTGGGGTACTTTCTTCCTTACGCCTGTTACTCCCAATGGAGCATAGGTTACCGACTAGCATTCTCGAACCCACTCTGTCCTGGGCCTTACTTTCTAGTTCTATCTAGTTGTTGGTCTTGTGGAATGTACTTTTCCTTCATCTGAACCTGTTCTTCTCCCTCTATTTAACAGGTCTGAGACGCATCATAATAGTTTAGCTTGTGTTATCGTTATGTTGCTGATCTTTCGTTCACCGATTTTAGGTGATCTCGTAACCTCTTCAAATATAACACTTACCTTCGCAAGAATTAGTTAACAGTTGTAATGTGTTACAACTAAGTTTTAGGTTAATTTCAATTCATTTAACCATTAAATAAAGGATTATTTAAAGGATGTGTAATAAATCCATCAGAACTATACTAATGGGTAATATTTTCTAGTTAATTGTGCTAGGTTTGAAGCCGGGATAAATCTGAACATTTAATAACTTGAAATAAAGGGAAAACAAATGTTATTTTATTCAGCTATTCTTTCGATAATAAAATCTATGAAATGTTTGTTGTATACAAATTATCTTTCAGCGACAAAACAAATACTGATAAGCGTTTTTACTTATTGTTAGTAAAGTTATTTTCTACAGGATAATGGAGCTTATGACCCTATATGCTTAACCTTATGCCTTTGTCCTTATTCTTTATGTTAAGTGGTTTGTGCTAGCCGACTGGGAACATTCGTTCTTGGTTTTTCACTCTTGGTTTGTAGTCATCGTAGCAAAAAAGATCGAATTGATGCTCTCTTCGAGATTCTATTAGCTAGGCGGAATAGAAATTTATACATAGATTCATACCTGAAATTAAATGTACCTTCCTTCGAAAATGAAGGCGGATGTTCAGTTCACAGGATATTCTTGTTTTCCTTCTTTACTTAAACAAAATCTTGACGAATAATATATATTAATAAGTGGATTTGTTCATTTCTATCTGGGTTAGCTACTGGAAGCTTCTTATTCATCACTCGTCCTTTTATTCAAGTAGGAGATTCGGCTCACATATTCCAAGCGTATATATTAGTATCAGACTCGGACGACCATCCAACACAACATATTCGAAACCATACCGTCCAATTTCGTAATCTAAATTTTTATTAATGGGTTATTCGAACTATGATTAACCTCCCATAAGACTGAGATGTTTGCCATTTATTGATCGCTGATTATTGGTCAGTGTCATGTTTGTCTAGTCGTGTATTATTGCGGATATAATTCTAACCACCAAGTTACAATGAGGCCTTTTGTGTCTAAGTAACTTGACATTGCTTGCACTGTGTGAGATGGTGGTTTGAAACAGTCGACAGGAAACATTGAATCTAGGTCTAGTGCTATTTGACACTCATTCAAGGTATAGCTGGAGATGTTTCAGGTTGTACGCTGCATATAACTTACTGACTGACAAGACATCAAAAAAAAACAATATCAACATTTACATAACATGTTTTTACTAACATTATCTTGAAAAAAACATCAAATGACTACAAGATGGTACTTATATATTACTTGCTTTACTGTGTACCCATCATTCATTCTTGTCCATCGTCTTTTTGTCTTTTCCTAGGTTTATCGAATTTAGTTCAAGTTTACGCTCATCAACCAGCTTATACCGATATAGATACACTTATGGAATCACGTCATCGTTTATACTTCTCACGTGTACGTCTCACTTATCTTTTGTTATGTCGTCAAAAATTAACGCATAGTTTAAAACAAATTCATTCAAGTTCATTTGAAAATATAGAAACAGACAAAAGAACCTTCAACTCATTATCATCATCATCATCATCTTCACCATTGTCATCGGAAAACCTAGAATTATCTTCAATTTTAGTACAGGCTGGATTTTCCAAAATGATTCTTACTTCACGTATATGTCCTGATTTAAATAACACTAAAACTATCCATAATAACAATAATAATGATAAGAAATCTTATTTGATCACATCACGTTGGATACGCTTACCTGATTTGGATAGAATAACTAATCATGGGTTAAATTTAATGGGTAAGTTTCTATGAATAGAATTATTGATCAATTTTGACATTTCTTTCAATGAATTGCCTTTAATAGATCACTCCCCCTTTTTTAGAAACTTCATTGTTTTAAAAGTTACTGTCTGGTGTACTGAATCTTATTTTTTGGCTTTTTTCTTAATATTTAGGCTCGTAACAGTGACATTTCGTCTTTCATGATGAATAAAACTTCATTTCAGAAAACGATCATGTACTTGATATTGTTAACTTGAGTCTACTACTCATTGATGATTAGGACTGCAATTGATCAGTCTCTTATTGACATATGTGCATGCTGTGCAGTTTGTCTCGATATTGTCTTAAACCACAAGCATTATAAGCAGAGATGAATGGTGGCTAGCAGTGGAATCCAGGACGCGCGTTTTGTCCTATTTGGCACTCGTTGGCTAGATGTACCTACATCCCAGAGTTGATGTTCATTCCACTTAGCTAAGTGGATAACATGATGGCGTTTGAAGCGAACGGCATTGCGTTCAAATCCTGAAGTGAAAATCAACTCTGGGATGCAGGTACATCCAGCTGATGAGTCCTAAATAGGAAAAAATCGCGTCCTGGATTCCGCTGCTGGCCACCATCCATATCTGCTTGTAACAAATTGTAATATTTTTAATAACTTTTTAATGCGTAATCTCACTTGGGCTTTATTAATTATTACAGATGCATTAATGTTTGTTTAAAAATCAACACTAGTAAATAGTATCTGACATAACTATTCATTTGGATAATCTTATCTTCAATCGGCCTGTCAAATATCTCGTAACAAAATCGCCGATTAGAATATTGACTTCTATGACTTTGTCTCTGTTCTTAACCAATAATGGCACGTCAATCAGCACCCCACCACACTGAGTTGATACGACCGTCCAGTGCTTCCAGGTTTTCAACAGTGATCTAATTTATAGCGGTACATGATTTTAATGAAATTTAACAATCTCCACAAGCTAATATTGACAATTCTTAGTAGTATTTGATCTAACCGACAAAATTTAAGTCAAATTTAATTGCCGCTTAATCGCACCGACTAGTTATTGATCTTTAAAGAACCTTCAATCTTCCATTACTTAAATGACTTTTCATCGTATTTGATGTTTGTTTTGCTTTTGAACAAACAAATATTTCTATCTGTAATAAAAATCGGATTTTGCCATCCGATTATTCTTTCTTATAAGATCCATTTAGTCTGGTTGCTCTTTAAGTAATTTTATGCTTTACATAAATTCTCTTTTTTGTACATATTAACTCAATAAACGTTTCAAAGCAGGAAAATAATCTGTTTACAACTGGTTCCTCATTAAGTGGCCACCGTAGTCGTATTTGTGCAGTCATTTTAAGTGTTGATCGAATTATTTCGATCAAAGTACAATTTGACCTGACACCAAGTGAACTATGTTAAGATGAAAAGTCGTGGCTGGAGGGTGGTAATCATCGACAGAGGACTCTCACTTCAGCTTGTGAAACTGGATGATACAGATTATAGTCTCACCGAAAGCATCAGTTCCGTAGAGAAATCACAATAGATAAGCTTCACTTATGGTGTATGTTACTTGTTCACCAATTTTGTTGTTCATAACTACAGGTTCGTTAGGTTTGTGGCATGTCAGTTAGAATTGATTTTAAACAATTGTTGTTTAGAAATCATAAGTTTTTGGAGCAATTATTTTTGATAGCATTAAACAAAAGACTGGACATATAAGCGTTCTGTTGGAATCATTAAGCATTCAAAGTTAGACTGCTATATAAACCCTGAAAGCACTGGACACCTGTTTCATTTTAGTATGGACTCCCGGCCGTGAGCATGCACAACTCTGCAGTTCAGTATCTAGCCCGGGACCTTCGGTCTGACTTGTGAACGCTTAACCTCTAGGCCACCGAGCCGGTATCCGGTGGTGTTAACATCTAACCTCAATCAATCCAAAAAATTCCGCGACCATCCACAACCTTATACTGAAAATATAACTACTCGCTGTCGAAGATAGGGTTTATTACTCAGTTGGCTATATGTCCTATTTCTATTGTGTAATGCTTAACTTAAATCGTTTTTGTTGGTTGAGACTTGTATTAGTTATACTAAACTACCATCTACCTCGACTCATGGTGTTGACTAATATAAAAGTATATTTGAAGTTAGCTGGGTAATTCAAAACAAAACAGCACCAGTTCATGAACTCATTGAGAATTCCATTAAATCATATAGGTTTGTCCAAACTACTTGTTTGGTATTTGCCAAATTATAGTAAGCAACGGTTGTAGATTTTTGGTGAGATGACACAAAATCATCTATAGTAATTTTCATCTATTCACTTTTTGTTTCACCTTAAATCCTCAGTTTCAAAATTATCGTATACTTCCTATCTTGCAAATTCATTTTTTACTTCTTGGATCATACTGTTTATACGTATAATTTTCTACTACCACTGATACTGTTACTACTACTTCGACCACTCTTCATTCTGTCTTGATGATTCCATCTTGGTGTTCTAATGTGGGGTAATAATTCGAACCGATACATATATTTACGAGGTTGAATGTTACGTATGAATGACTAAGATCTTGTCCTATTGTAATCCTTACGCTTATTTGAAAAAGTATACATTATAGTTTGTTGATTCAGATATCAGAATTTGGAAATATAACTGGATAAAAACTGATGAGGAGAATACATTAACGCCAATGTTTTAACAGTTCAATCGGATTCGTTGTCCGAAATAATCAAACATCACTAATTTAGTCCAAAATCTGTTCGTACATTTAGTTGTTGTACCCAAATGTCCTGGTACGGCTCAGATATGAGAGAGTCAGCTCTCCCTCTAGTAATGCTCTCACATGGCCACGCATATGCAGCCACTACCAGGGAGGTCCTTCCCACGGTGGGTGTGTTTTTCACGAAGTTGAGAGGACGAAAAGCAAATATCCGGCACTTTACCCGGGTTGGTGGATATGAAGGATTCACCTAGGAGAGTTGGAAAACCCTAATTCTAAATCAATGGTGCACATGGGCTTCAAGATACTGATGAAAGAAATGGCGTATGAACCTATTGTTGTTCTCAAACTACCATAGAACTGCATCTCTTAACGTTCCTTCATTGCCTTGTGGATTAAACCTCTCGGTCAAAAGCTCGGAGAGTGGCCCCCTAAGAAAATCACTTGCTTCTGTTTGGGTGCCCGGGTAGTATCCCAGCCCTCACACAAATCGAATGTTGAAGTTTAGCGCATATATATTTGATACTCCCTTGTACCAATGTTGATATGTTTAAATAAGTAAATACTTTTTGACCAAGAACAAAAGAATTGTCTAATACTTTCTAGGCTTCAGTGTTTAAATATTATCAGTTACTAGTAAACTGTATCATCACATAACTTTAGATGTTTGCAAAATCTACTTGTTATTTGTTCTTTCTTTTATATTCTGTCCTCTTTAGAATGGCCTCCATTTCCTTTAGAAGATATAACACATGAAAATGTAAACGATAATATATTTCAATTGGATATTGAAAAGATTCGTGAACAACTTAAATCACAATCATCTTGGATATTAGACTGTATGAATACTAGTAATAGTGATAGTCATAATGATATTGACAATGAAAACACATTGAGTCGTGCACATTTCACTGTTACATCTAATAACAATATTATAACTGATAAGTACCAACATGTACCTCATGAAGTAATGCATAATCAGTTTAACTCTCCAATTAAACGAAGCGTTACATGTTCAGAAAAGTCATTTACAGTCACATCAACCAACAGTATACTTAATAGTAACATAATGGAAAAATCAAATCAATCATTAAAGAAACCTTTTCATGGTAATAGTATTGATATAAATAATAATGATAAATCATTGGAAAGCAATAAACGATTCTCCATAATCAAGCAATCTTCCAACATAGAAGTTTCTCGAAAGCGATCACCTGAAATTTGTAGAATTCAATCTGAACGAACTGATATTACTACTATGAACAGTAGTATAGGTACCATTAAAAATAATATTGACAATATTTCCAGACATTCATTACTTGATCATTCAATAAATTCTCATAAACCAATTGTACCATTAGCAACTGATGAAACTGATACTGAAGATTCTATAAATAAACATTGTTCATCAATATCGTCAGTTCCTTATTCATCATCTATTTCATCAGAGAACACTGAAAATTCTAAAGAAGTTTTAACAGTCAGTAGTAGTGGTAACATTTTTGTTAAGTTTACTACATGTAATGTATTTTGTGCATATATATTTTTATGAAATGTTTTTTGTTTGGCCATCTTCAACTCAAGTCTAGGCTGATGTTATGGTTTACTGTGGAATATGTGAAGAAGTAAATATTACTGTTCAATTTGTAGTTTAGCTGTTATTATTACCATTCAACAACCATCTACTTCAACAGACGATGTTGGCCGATGTAGGATTTGTTTAAAAAAAGCTAGAGATGTTCAAACCAAAACGTCGGATCGGCTCATATGGTTACTGACTATTGATCTAAGCTATTGAGATTGATGTAGATTACTTGGTCGGGATCTTGGAAACGTATTCCATCCGGTTGAAAACACAACAACGAGCGAGGCAACTTAAATGTAGGCTGATGGAAAGCTTACGTAATGGTCGTGAGCAGTGGTGGTTAGTGGAAGAAGAGATGAAAAAGGAAGAAACGAAAAGTAACAGTAGACAACTGTTCAAACGTATAAAGAAAACGGGTATTGAAAGCCCATCTGTTTGTGAAACTATCTCGGAAAAAGATGGGACTATTACTCAATCTCAATCCAGAAGATGGGCAGAACGCTTTAGGAAATAACTCAACTGGCTTTCAGCCACTCTTCAGTTACCCACTTTGTCCAAGCAACCTGAATGGCGAACTGATGTAAACCCTCTAAATGTTAGTGAGGTTGAACAAACTATAATTAATCTAAAGTGAAGGAGGGTCTGATGGGCTATCCTTTGAGATTTTTGAAGATTTTGGTGCAGTATTAGCAGTTAGATGAACTGAAATCTAAGCCAAACTCTGGAAACTGGACGTGATTCTATCACACTGGTCTCAATTACTTAACGTCTCAGTTAATAAGAAAAGACAGAAGTCCTCTTATGATAATCACAGATGAATGAGTTTAACTAATATAGTGTCTAAAATATTAACCTCAATAATACTTGGAAGTCTAATCGTAGCTCGTGAAGAGCAAACTATGGTGGTTTCAGACCTAGACATAGATGTATTGACCAAATATTTAAACTTTGGCAAATTCTGGAACGTAGACATACCTTAAGGTGTCCGACTATAGTTTTATTCCTTGACCTTATGGTTGCGTTCGGCTCCATTGATCGTGAGGTACTGTGGCAGTGTTTTATTGAAGTATATACTAAATAATTACATTAACTTTGTACAGGCTCTCTATTGGGACACCACTAATCGAATCAGAGCTTAAGACAAACTGTGATCGGAATCGTTTTCTTCAAATGGTGTTCGTCACAGTTGTCCACTTTCCCCAAAATGCAGTCTTCTGACTACTTTAAGCAACAATGCGAACATGTCTGGCATGCGGTTCTCTCCCTCCAAATGTAAAATGTAACTTTAGGATTGGCTTGTGTCATCGCCTAAATTTATGATACGTAATGAATGCATTAGCCGCCCCACTTATCTTGGGAGTCTCATTAATACTGATGATCTGATTGTAGTGAAGGAGAATTCAGGTGGAGGAAACCAGTTTATTGTTTAATGCAAAATTACAGAGTGCCTTCGTAAAGTATTAAAACCATACATTAAGTACATTATTTACACATTTTCCTTATGTTATCCTGTACGGGCTTCATGATTCTCTCAATCTTGTTACTTTTACAAATGCTCTCTATTTCCCTTCCTGTTTTCTTCAGTTCACTCTTCTGCTGGCAGGCCTTCTTCTTCAGATTAGTATTGCATACTATTTATATCTGGACGATCAATTTTTCAGTTGAATCTACCGTCTAGTTGTTTATTCTAAGTGTCATTCTTCCAAAACACTTGAGACTCACTATTGTAAATATTATGACTTTTTGACGACTGCCTAGTAACTGTTTTGTACAAATCAACTGAATTCTCATACCAGTCTACATGTTTTATATATTTAATTGTATGTGCAATATTAAGTCATTTATTCTTCGGGTGGGACTATAATTTATGGACATTTGCAGGACGCTAAAGTGACCTTGATAATGAGGGTTATAAACCTGTGGGAAGAATAAGGATTGTGATCTACAGTTGATGATTAGGGCTCGGAATTAGATTTAGAGTTTTCATCACTAACTGACATCAACTAAATTGACAAAAGGCTATTTAGCCAAATGCATAAATCAGTTTTGTGCCAAAATCCAAGATCTGTTATCCTAAAACTGATTGATTCGTCCATCAATTATAATCTTGCCATTCTTGGCCTTCTCGCTGTTTATATATACATATATATGCTTTCTTTAAATTCTTTGTACAGACTAATTCATTTTGGTCTCGTCTCAGCCATGGATTACGTGGATCATCTAATAACAAACAACAATCTAATCATAAAAAATCTGAACATAATATCAAATCTCACCGCAACACTAATAATTCGTCATCTAGAACAGAAATTGTCAAATCTGAAATATCAGAACCATCATGTTTACGCATTGTGAACATTCCAAATAGTTCTTGCTCTCTTGATTCAGGTAATACTGGTTCCATGGATAGTGAACCTAGTTCTTCATGTAAATCAGTTCATTTTCACACTGGTTCAATTGTGACCGATAACTATAGTTTAGAGAAAAACAGTTCAGATTTGAATCTAGAAGTTGGATCTTCTTCCAATTTACATTGTTTAGGTTGGGCCAAAGTTCAACGAAACTATCTACCTCGCAATCCCACTGAAATTCATTTACAAGAAGGTAATCTCTCTCTCTCTCCATATATATATATATATATATATATATATTCTCATTTACTATTGCTGTATCAAAACTAATTTTTCATCCTTTCACTTTTGCAAACAACATGTGCGGCTCTGTAACCGGGTCGGTAGATACTAGCTGTAAAATCCTACCTTCTAAGGATTGTTGTCCTTCGGCTCTAGGTATTTGAGGGAGAAGATAGCCTAAAAACTTATTCTTAGCCATCTGCTATCCTGAAACTGAATTCCTTGAAGACGCTCTACTGCTTTATGCTTTGGACCTTTAGTTGGATGAGTCGGAGGTTGGCTATCGTGAAGTAAACTACCTCTGTTGTTCTGTTCACTCAGACAACAACATTCCGGCTAGCACACATTAGTATTCTGGTATGGTGAATACTAGTTTCGGAGCCCTTTCTTACCATATTTTATGTAAATAAAACTAATAGAATAACTATGACAGTTACCGATTGAATAACATACCGATATCTCTGTGAATAAAAGGATACAATGGCAAACATTTTCGTCTAACTATAGTTGTCATCTCTTCAACTATTGAAATACTATGAAGTAATTACCAATGATTTTTTTTAAAAAATGAGTATATAATGTACACTGTCACTGAGGAGTCTCCTATAATATAACACAAACAACCATACAATGCTTTGGCACTTTCATTAATGTTTTTGATTGAGATCATGAACCGATTAATGTTAGACCATCACAATTGAAAACCTGGAAGCACTGGACGGCCGTTTCGTCCTATTGTGGGACTCCTCAGCAGTGCGCATTAATGGTCAGATCAGATGTGATGAGATTATAAATCCTTAAAAATTCAATTCATTAATCAATTTATTCAACTTATAATGGATATAGGTGATAGTTATGTTTGTTTCAGTTTTTTAAAAAGTTATCAATCATTCACAATGTAACAAACATTAATTGATTTTGGATCAAATTCTCTTTCATTGTCTTTCGATTATTACTTGTCAATAATCTATCAAATAATTATTCTGATTACCAAAATCTACTGATTACTTAGTGATTGACTTTTCTTATTAATTTTGAGAGACAAGTAGAACTATTTTCTTGTATAATGCTGTTGAAAATCTACACAATGTATCCGTTGTGATAAGTCATATTGGTAATATGCAATATAAAAGACAAAATATGGAAATTATTAGCAAAGATATATGGTAGCTAACAGTGTAATCCAGGATATGCGTTTCGTCCTATTCAGAACTCATCAGCTGAATGCACCTGGATCTTAGTGTTGATGTTCACTGCGGGACTCGAACCCAGAGACTGTTCAATTATAGTTCTAAAATCAATGGAAATATTCAATCAAACCGTACAAAATGAATTCAAAATACTTCACCATATTTCACGAGCTAGTTACTATCAGGACTGAGTAGATAATTGGATAATGCAATGGCGTTTGAAACGAACGGTACTGGGTTAGAGTCCTGGAATAAATATCAACTCTGGATTGAAGCTACAGCCCGCTGACGAGTCCCAAATAGAACGAAACTGACGTCCTAGATTTCACTGTTAGCTTCCGTCTATCTTTGCTTATAATGCTTATGACTTAAGGTAAAATCAAGTCAATCCGCACACGATGCACATATGTCAATAAGACACTGACCAATTGCAGTCCTGAACATCAATAGGAAGATTCAAACAAACTAAACTAAAGGAATTTTAAAAGTATGAAAGTGTCACTATTATCAATATTAGTAAAGGCTTGAATTAGCCCGTTTTTGATATTCATCCATTGATTTTTGACCAGTCTTTGTTGGGACAGTTTCCCTCGATATAACCTTTTTTCTTTTATAGGATTATTTGTTTGTAGCTAGCAATGCAATCCTGTAGGTGTGTTTCATTCTATAGAAGTCTGTTTATCAGCTGGATTTGGCTTTGCTTCAAGTAAAAGGTGCCTTAATTCTAATCATCAATGTGAAATTTACCACTACAATGAATTAAGTACACTCAACTGACGAGTTCGAAGTGGGATAAAATACACCTAGTGTTTTACTGCTAGCTAAGTATCATAAATAAAATCATTCAAACTTTTGACAAAAACTATTGTTCTTTATTTGCTTAGTACAGAACCGGAATAAGAGAATAGTAGGCAGCATTGACCACAGATGCCTTCGAAATATTGCTGCAGGGATCACTGGCTAAGTAATAGTGAGGTTAGATGTAGAGTATTAAAAAATGATTGTAAATCAGGTGATCAGGTTGTGAATCTTCATCGATTGAGATGCTTAGGCCACGTGTTACGTATGCCTAAACTCCGATTACCATGACGCACAATGCTGACTAGTGTTGGTGATGGTTGTAAGTTAAGGTCGGCCAAACCAAAACGTGGCATCAGCGCTTGAAGTCACTAACTCTTAGTCTTAGCCATGTTGGTAGATGCAAACCACTTGGTTGGAATCTGCGTGACTATCATATTCAATAGTTGGAGACTCTGGGTGACATGGCTCAGAATCGATCACAATGGCGTAGGTGAATACACTTTCCGTCTTCCCTTAAACTAAGAGATTAAAATCCCTTCCTATCTTTCTTTCTACTAACTAATTCTTTCTTCCTTTACCATGTCCTTATATGCATTCTTTCTTTTATATATTACCACCTCTGAATTAACTACTTCTATGAATCCGGTGTTCATCTTGTTGTGTTAATGAGGTAAGGCAACTTGGACCGATGTATATATGTGCCTGGTCCTACGTTGTAGCTGACTGTCTGAAGCAACATTGAAAGCAAAATCTAATGAAATTCAATAGAGTATATATGATACTGGGTTTTTGTGTTCTTACATATTTATATATTCACATTGTTGTATCATTCTCTCTTATTTTAGGTGATATAATTAGTATTTACCGTAAAGTTAACTCGGATTGGTGGTATGGTGAAGTGAATAATAAAAAAGGTTTATTTCCAGTAAATCATATTGAAGAATTTTAAAGTTTCAATTCATGAATAACAATAAACAAACATTGTATACCCTATAGTTATTTCAGTAAATTCTATCAAACATTCAAAGTACCCTACACTTTAGCTTCACTCCTGTTTTGTTCAATATATCTGATGTATATATTAATTTACATGAAGCCAATCAGAACATATCCACTTATGAAAATGATGACAATGTAATCAATGTTAATGTACCTATATCTTTAAGATGAAAATGAACGAATTGATCTACTTCGCCATCTCTTCCTCCATGACCCGCTGATGATGACTCCGGCTTGGATGAATATACGAATATACTATGCACATATACCTTCCATTTTAACTCCGTACATTACCTTGACTAACCGTATATTTATGACGGTGGTAATAAGAAAAAGGCAAACACAGGTTGTGTTGGATTAATCCATTTCAAGCATTTGTTTATCCAAACAAACATTAAGTATAAGAAACAGGAAAGCGAAGCGAAGAAAGTGAGCAAGTCAATTGGATTTAATCAATATTTATAATCAGATATGTGATGAATAGGATAAGTACTACACAGAAAAACACACATATATATATATATATAAACAGTCAAAGTTAACAAGCGAATAATTTACAAAGTGAAAGTGTTCCGAAGTCAGAATACCCCTTATAATCGTGATATAGAGTACCAGACACTATAAACTTAGCAATTTAAATATGGAATTTATAGTGATGTACATCATCATATTTACCGTTATGTTGTACTCTTAAAGTACTACATATATATATGCCATCCTACTCGCCTCGTGATTATTATTCTATGATTCGTATATTAAACATGTAAGAAGAAATTATGTTTGTTCATTGAATGTTAAATATTGAACATTGAATAGTAGAGATGCACTACTCACTCACTAACACCCTATCCTATCCCCCCCCCCATTTGACTAAACCTTTGATATTCAATCAAGTGATCATTATTATTATCATCATCCCTGATTTGTATTATACCATTAAATTATTGTATATATCAAGACATAGAAAATAAGAGTCAGCGCATTAAACTTTTAATTTATTCAACTTTCTATTCAAATATCTTGATAAATATGTAGATCTAATTGCTTAATTTCTGTGTATAGATTAAACATTATTACATATAAATAAGATGAATATCATCACTGCCAGTATCATTACCACCATCAACTCCACCAGTGACATACACACACACACACTCTCCATCTATACTTCCCTTTATACTCAGAAACAATTAATTAATTACATTAACAGTAATATTTATGAATACAATTCATGTTATATTCTATGTTTAAATGATAATTTTCATTTGTTTGTTTGTTTGTTTGTTTTTCAATGTTATTTAACCCAATTTTGTTTTCTTCTTCTTTGTGTTTATTTCATTTTGTTTTGTTTTTGTTTGTCATAAGTCTTGCAAATTGAACGTTATATTCGTTTCTTAAGCTATTCTGTAATCCCCATGCTAGAATTATACAGCGACCTAAACAACAAGAGAGAAGACACAAAGTATACGAGAAGTACTTTACTCAAATGTTCATTTCAATACAGGAAATATAATGTTTTTTAAATGTCCTTGAGTTGCTCGAAGATTCTGGAATGCTATTAAACATAGTAACAGTATGGCAATTAGTTAATTAGAACCTCTACATGTGACGTTTCACTTCCTTGATATTTTTGGCTAAAACTTCAAATGAACGCTGATCAGAGGAGACGCTTCTTAGTGTTTCCTGATCCTTGTTTGTCTTTTGCAAGTAATTTTCTGGATCACTTCAACACTGTGTTTTTTTGTAGTCTCGTTGATATTTTCTTTCATTTTTTTTTATAGAAAATATGAAATTATTTTTGACGGGGTTCTCTACTAGACCTTGTCTATTTTAGTGATAATTATGTCTCTAATGTTCATTCATTGTTGAATAGTTTGAATATTTCGATGTTTTCATTGTTTTTATTTAATTTGTTTGTTAGTTATTGGGTTTCTCAAGAGAGAGAGGAGGGGGAAGGGATAGGAGATGGATTTATTGTAATCTCTTGTTTTATTATAATCATTATGAAGAACTTATAAGTCTTCTAACAGAACAATTGAATCGGTTCCTTAAGCTTTTTTAATAAACTTCAGGTTAAATCTACACATTAACATGAACACGAGAGAAAATGGGCGAAGTTTGAAAAGAGTGCTCTACTCAAAGTTTGGCTTACATACACAGAAAATCAAGGGTACTAATAGAATTCCAGATGGTTTTAGACTTCTGGAAGGTTCTGGAACCATACTAAACATCGTAGTAGGATAGGTAAACGCACATGACCCTTCACTTCCTAGATGTTCCTGAAGAACTACTATTCAATACTGATTTGACAAGATGTTTCTCTGTGTTTTCAAGGCCCCTCTGGATTTTTTATAGGAATGCTTTAGATCTCCTCGTCACCTTTTTTTTCACAAAATAATACCTTTTTGAGTCTACTTGCTGTATCAATAACAACGATAACTACCTATATTAGTGCAGATCGAATCCTATCGACCAAGCTGCGATGTGGCCACCAGTCTAGGTGAATCGACATTGCGCGCACTACGTTGAGATAAGATGTTGGTTGGGAGTGGTAACATCTCTGACTGTGAAGCTAGGTGACACGAGATCGAATCCTTTAGGAAGCATCAGTTCTCTCAAGATTACAGGTACACCTTGTTGACGAGTGCCAAGTGGCACGAGACTTAAGTCTAGGGTTTCGGTTGACTACCTCCAACCATCATCTTATGATAACTACCTATGTCATTTCTTTGTCCTGCCAAAAAATCAACTAATGTTACATTTGACTTTTGTACTGCTTATTATGTATTCTTGTTACTCTTCGTATCTTTAAGTATATATAGCTTGTTTATTGTTCATACTTTCTTAATTTGAACCGTGATGGAGATTGTTTCTTATACAAAACTCATTTAATCAGTTGGTAATCAATTTCTGTAAATATACATTGTACGTTGTACTTTCTAAATGCAAAGTACTCCTGCAAGTTTGACATGAGCCTGTGTCTGCATTTACTCCTGGTAAAGAGCTGTTAAAAGTAGTCAAAAAATTCTTTTATCTGAATAGTTGAAATCACTCTGTTTTTAATAAATTCCGAAACGATCCATGACAATCTGGATCGTTCAGGAAATTGTTGTGACTATATTCTGGTAATAAAAAGTCGAATTTAGACAATGAGAGCAGTTTATGCTCCATGCTTGTAAAACCTGGCCACTCCGAGTTGAGTTTATTCAGCGACTCGGTATTCAAGTATTTAAGCATCGTCTTCTCTGAAGAATTAATAACATCCAGTGGCAACACTATTCTTAGAGTAATGTTACTCAAAACTAGATCAATAGACCGCAATAATTGTACATGTCATACATTCGATTAAATTAACTGATCAAGAAACGTAAATAAGCTTGGTCGGGAATTCACTATCACACAATAGAAATCAATCAACATATGGAATCGATTAATAAAAAAGCTGTTACCAAATCCATAAAATTCTATTTTTCCCCATATGGCAAATAGTGAATATACTATATAAAAGAAGGGATCTCTTGCTGTCAAATTAACTGCTCTTATAAATTTAATTCCATTAATAAATAACATTGGGCTAAGTAGAAATAAAAACTTTTCTTCTGGTACAATACCCTAAAACTTTCAAGATATATTTCAGTAAAACCTTTAGAACCATTAGATTTAAACCGGTAAAGATACGTAGTGAGTCAATTACCTCTTTAAATCCTTAAATGACATAGCAATCATTTACTTATTTCGTAAATTAATTACTGTCACAGTGTTTTGCCAACGTCTACACTTGTTATTAGTGTGTCGTAATTTAAAATTATCTGAGAATGATAAGTTCATGTGATTGGTCAGATGACTCGAATTTCTAACGAATAAGTTATCAGAAGAGGATTTTGTAGAGAACCTAGTAATTTAATAGTTGAATTCATGAGTCAATTGAAGCTACACCACTTTGGAAATCCCGGAAGCACTGGATGGCCGTTTCGTTCTGGTGCGCATCAATGATTCCGTCCGTGGGATTCAAACTCAGGACCTATCGGTCTAGCGTATGAACGCTAAACCTCTAGACCACTGAGCCGGCATCTGACAACGGTAATGGAGCAACATCACGAGATGCAGTCCCATGCTAGCCTATCCCCAATAATTAGTTCATACTCTTTGTGTCCACCAACCCGGGTAAAGCGCCGGACATTCTCCAACTTCTAATGTCCGTTCAACTGATGTCAGTTTGTTACACTAATGATTATTCGCACTCATATTGTAATGTATGCTACTGATGTCAACAGTTATAAATAGTATGTATCATCAATCGAAAATGAAATGCCTGACGGAAGACGGTTAAGATGATCATATAGAAGAAAATTATCGGTGTGGAAATAAAGGGACAATCATGACTGAGACGACTAATTGGCATATTGCTAATGAATTGTTTATTCTATGGTCCGTAGATTCTTCACATATATATATAGCGACTCACGTGCAAATGGGTTTATTCTCATTTAACTCAGTTAAGCCCTTTTGCTAACTTATTTAGCGGACAAAGCCATCCGCACTATAATAATTTATTGTACCCTTATTATTATTTTGTGCTTGTATGAAATACGCATGCTTTAATATTGCTTACGGCCTACGCATTTATGTCACTCTGCTATTCTCACTACTAACCGCTTATTTGATTCGATTACTCATTAATTTCACATGTTATATATATGTCCATGTTATTTATATGGTTGACTCTGCTTTCTCGCTCGCTTGATTGTACTCGATTACTTACATTCGCTCAGTCGCTCGCTTGCCTGTTTGCCGTTCGGCACAACTCTTAATGCTCGTTTAATGCATCTGTAATTTTGGACATCTGTGTGTGTGGTCTCGAAATAAACGTACTCAACGCTTTGTATTCGCCTTCTGAATAATATACCGTTGGAGTTAAATAGGACGGTTATCAAGACGAATTGTATACGAATTTTAAGGGATATATCGAATACCGACCACCACATATATATATTCGTTTGTCCCCGGTTATGTTCTCGTTCATGACAACACTATCTTAATAATATAAACAACACATTATGATCAGAATATATTGAACTAATATCAAATAAACATTATTGAATTCATGTACAGAAATGATATGCAATACATTTTATCATTAAACAAAAAAAAGAACATCAATTCAATTTTATTTATTCAATCATTTAAATTGTTACGTAATCAAAGACAATTTTGATCCATCATGAAAAATTATTCCATAGTTTATTATCATTATGAATATCTTATCAAATAGTATATGATTATCAGTGTACTTCTTTATGATGATCTATTCTCCTTTTCTTTCTGGTGATTTTTGTTTAGTTTCACAAACAAACAAAAAAACAAAATGATAAAATACTCTGAAATGAAATAAGAGAATAAAAACAAAATTACAATAAAAATAATCAATGAATTTGGTTTGGTTTGATTTAGTTTGGTTTGGTTTAGTTTTTCACAAACAAGAAACGAAAATAATCACCAAATCAATACTACTGGTAATTGTCAAGATCTAAATGATTATCATTGAAATCATCTGAAAAAATATTATGCAATCGATTAATAGTAATAACAATAACAACGACGACAACAACAACAAGAACAAAGATAAAGTATGTATATGTAATGTGAAGCTGAATGAACATGATGTTGTTGGGTAAAAATAGAGTTGAAATGTGAAATGATTAATTTATCTCTTTTCCCCCCTCTCTCTCCCTCTCTCGCTCTGTTTCATGACAATATGGACACATTCATAGAGAAGAGGAAAACAATAAAAGAAAGAAAATGTTTGAATTGGATACAAACTAGTTAGATATTTGTTTGTTTTGTTCTGAGCGAATCAACACCAGATTTTCATTCGATATGCTTTTTTTCTTCTTCATGATTATAAGAATAAGATTGAAATGATTAAGTTATGATTGATCATGGCAACTATGTAATATATATACATAGTTCTGTTTCATTATCTTCTTCTCTTCTCACTTTATGTTACTGTTTGATATGTTTTGAATGAATGTTAAATATACAATCATTTCATGGATTTATCTGATTGTTATAATAAGTATCATTATAAAATAGATATCATTGTGAAAATAGGATCCATTTAGTATATTACATATACATATATATATATATATATATATATATATATATATATATATATATATATATATATATATATATATATAGATAGATAGATAGATAGATAGGAATTGATTGAATTCAAGTTAAGAAATATGATGTAATATATAATAATAATAATAATAATAATAATAATAATAATAATGTGAATATACTAATGATGTAATCAGTAATTCATGTAATCATTGAATTATATCTACATTAAAAAGAATGAGTATTGAATAGATGAAATTGACATTTGTTTTTTCTTTTCTGTTTCCTCTTCCTTTTTCCTTCTTTTCTTTATCTTTATTTTCTTTTTCTTCGAGAAAACAATCATAGTAATGAACAATTATAACAAGGAATAGATAGATAGATAGATAGATATAATGATTTGTCTTCGGGGCGGGGGGGGAATTCAATCAACTCTACAATATCTAATAATAATTCCATGATTAAATCATTTTAAACAATAATGTAAAATAAAGAATTTTAAATCAATCAAAATTTCATAAAATCAATGATGATCAATGTTGATAATGATGATGATGATCAAGATCGATGATAATGATGATAATCAATAATCAATAATGATTGATATTTTTGTATCCTGAGATTATGTATATGATCCTTTTGTGTGTGCGTGTGTGTGGTTATTTTCTTGTTTTTTGATTGGTTTGAATAATTGATTGATTGATTGATTGATTAACCAAAAGTTGGTTTTAAATTGAACCAAATTAATAATTTATAAACAATAAAAGCTACAATAAAATAATAAAAAATTTGTTGTAAACATGAAAATAATTGTGTATTTGACAAATCATTAGAATCATTATGATTTGAATTAGTTACAGATGATTGAGATGATGTATTAATAGAATTTAATTGATTATTGATATTGATTTTATTAGCTAATGGAGGTAATAATTTAATAGAATCAATTGAATTTATAACTTGATTATCTAATTGATCAATATTCATAATTTGTTGTACTTTATCTGTAACACGTTTCATAGATCTAATAGCATGATCTTCAAATGTTGGTATTGTGGAATTGATCTCTCCACTGAAATATTAGAAAAATAAAACAAAAAAAACTTGGTTTTATGTCAATTATAAACAATTTATTAAATGTTAACTAGTTGAAATGATGAATCAATTGAAGCGAGACTACAATGGAAAACCTGGAAGCAATGGACGACTCATGATTTCAACTATTGAAATTACTATAATATTCACAACCCCCCCCCTTCTGATACTTATCAACATATGATCACTAGTGACCGGCTTCAAGAGGTATTTCCTGAAGTTCTAGTGAGAAACAGTGACCAGTGGAGTTCAACCGAGTCTGCTTTGAGATAGTAACTCACTAATAAACATGATGGATGTGTCGCTCAATTTTGAGGATTAGTTGAAGTTAATCATTAACACCGTTGGATGCCGGCCAGCTCAATAGTCTAGCGGTTATGCGTTCACATGCGAGACTGATAGGTCTTCGGTCCGATTCCAACGAGACGAGATCGTGGATGAACACTGCTGAGGAATTCCACAGTAGAATAAAACTGCTTTCTACTACTTCTAGGTTTTCCATGGTTGTCTAGCATCTAATCTCAACTATTAAAACTACTATAATATCTAAAAACCCCGCTTCTGATAATAATTTACCAAATGTTGAATGGTTCGTTTTTTTTTTTATCAGTATAAGAATGACCTTCGTAAATATCTGATAAACGTTTCGATAATGCAAAAAAGTGATGATAAACTTTCTGTGTTTAACAAATTTCTACTTACCTTATAAATGATCACTGTAATGACTTGAAAAACAACATTGATTTATCTGTGTTATGATATAAACTAAATACTAATCATTGTTATCTATTGTTGATTGTAATGAAATAAGACTGTTATGCTAACGGACGAGAAAATGCAAAACTATAGAAAAAGAATGCTCTATTCATCAAGTGTACTTAATATTAATGATAGTCAGTTAGTCGTCTACAACGTAGGACTCTACACATATAAATGCATAGGTACAACTTATCATATCTTATGAACACTACTAGATGAACATCAACTTCATAGAACCAGTTACTTTAATGATAGCGAAAAAGATTTCATAGTCGGATATGATACAGGAAAAAAGAATCAGTTCGTAGAAAAGAAAACGGAGGAATTTGTTTTTATCTCACAGTTTAAGAGAAGACAAATTTTTATTCACCTATACCGTTGTGGTCGATTCTCAGCCAAGTCACACAGAGTCTCAAACCACTGGCTACGATAGTCGCTTGGGCCGCAACCAAGTAGTCTACCAACATGACTCAGACCAGAAGTTAGTGACCTCATATTGATAATAACTTACCATTTTAAATGTCACCAAGTTTGAATGAATTCAGCTATTTGTTAATCCATTATTCTAGCGTGCGTTTATCACTTGTAAAATCAATAGATTAACTGACTTAACTAAGATATGATAGCTTATTTAATGAACAGTAATTGGTCGAAAACGTAAAAGTCCCGTGAAGTATGTCCTTATAAAAGATCTTCTTTCGTATATAAGTTACTGACTCTTTAAGTTTTCTGTGTTTTATACCATGATCAACAAATTTTGCGATTATCAACTATCATTAAATATTTTCCTTAGATAGTTTATTACTTTATTAAGACATGATGTTTGCGAACTCTTACATAGACAGAGAGAGATATAATTCACCTTTTTAATAATAAAGATCCAGCTTTGAAATCTTAGTAAATGTGTTTTCTGAAAATAGATCTTCTTGAAATTCCATCAAGTTTTCTTTTAACATTTCAACATCTAGAAATTATTATCAGATGGGTTTTGTGGATATTATAGTAATTTCAATGGTTAAGATCATGAGTCAGTTGAAGTTAGACCACCATGAAAAACCTGGTAGCATTGGACAGCCGTCTCGTCCTATTGTGGGACTCCTCCATAGTGCGCATCAACGACCTCGCCTCCTACGAGGTTCGAACCCAGCACCTACTAGTTGCGCAAAACCAGGTTTTCCATGGTGGTCTAGCTTCAACTGACTCATGATTTAGAAATTAGATGCTTAATCTGTTTTCAACTTCAAATATAAATTTCATTCCAAGACAATAATTTGATGAATATCTTTAGAATATGACATAGATATTGATTAGCTCACCTACTCCTATAGAGCTGGGTATATCGTATGATCAATGTCAATTCCTTACAAAAGGATTGATGAACATTATTCAACTTTATTGAGAAAAAAATACACATAAATTTATTAATAAGAAGTTAAATAGTTATACACCCTAAACGCGGGTTATTCGATCTAGTCAGTTTCAACGGTCCAAGTTATTATTAACTGTGACACAGAAGAAAGAAATATATCAAATACTCGAAATTCAAAACTGTTAACTTTCATTTGTATTTAGTTCATATTAAAAGTTGTAGGAGAAATATTGTTATACTATAGCAACTCACATGCAATTGAGTTTGTTCTCGTTTAATTCGGTTAAGCCCTTTGGTTAACTTATTTATCGGACAAAGTCATCCATACTATAACAACTAATTGTACTTTTATTATTGTTGTGCTTGTATGAAATATGTATATGCTTGAACATTAGTTACCGCCCACGCATATATTCATTCTGCTAGCTTTTATATCATTAGCTGCTTAATTGATTTGATGATCCATTCATCTCCCTATACTCTACTATTCCGATTCGCTGACTCACACATATGGCTCTCTGTTCTGTGATCTGAGTTATCTGCTAATAAAAAAACTGTAGTCGCTGCTTCTTTTAGCCTTCTGATTTCAAATACCGCTGAGGATTATATGATAACGGTTACGAGGGTGATTGGTTAACGAAGCACAGCCACTACAATACCATCAAAAATTGTGGTTACAGTCGTATATTTAAAAAGAAAGATGTGTTACCTATTCATTCAAAACTAATATCTTTTTGAACTAAGTTATATTAATTATGCACCTAAATACATATTCCTTGTTTGAATAGAGCAAGAATAAAATAATTCTAGTAGAATAGCATGAATAGCATTTTATTTCATCTGGTTCTCGTCGTCAGATAGCTTACAACCTGTGATATTTAGAAATCATTCATTACATAATGGGTTTAAATGAATTACATGAACATGGAACATGCTCAAAGAATCTAAGATAGACGTCCCTTTCTGTTTGGTCAATATAGCTGCTTTGGCAAGTACATGTAAATTTATAAATATAGTTGGCGGTAATATGAAAAGCGTACTTGTCAACCCTTGGGTAAGTTATTTATTGTGTTGTTTTATACAGAATTAATAGTTTGGCTGACGAGTAAGTTCTGGCTGACACAGTGTTCAGCTTCTTGCTGATTGCGTTTCTGAAGTCAACACCTTTGAAGTTGAGATTTATAGATATTGATTTTTTATTGACCGTAATTATTCCGTCTTGTTTTCTTTTTGTTTTTTATATCTGTCAATAAACTTTTGTGGGTAGCAGTTGTATCTTGGGCATTTCTCAACTTTCATCAATTCTTATTCCAGTTTGTTGGTAGTACATATCCATTCTACCCTAAAACATAGTGTTTTAACCAACGCTTTCTTGTAAATGATTGGACAAAAACTATTGAAATTCAGGTAAACTCCATTCTGAGTACTTTTTCGATGAACCGAATGTTGAGCTGTCCCGTCTGCTCTACGGTTTATAGCAATATGATAAAAGTGTAATATGCCATTCTGTTTGTGTTCCACAGTAAATTGTGTATTAGGATGATCATTATTGAAGAGTTCTAATAGGTGAATTGTGTGCTGTTTATTCTTACAGATAATAAACGTGTCATCAACATATCTGAAGTATTCCGTCATTTCGCTTATTGAGATTTTATTTCAACTACCTTCCAAATTAATAAACTGATTATATCATCTAAGATCTACAGAACACGAATGGGGACAATCGAATGTATTTAACACAAAATTACATGACTTGTTAATAAAATCTAACAGTCAAATAGTAAATATGTAATTTGTAAAATATCCATCAGTCGTCTCATAATGACTTAGATTTCATTATTCTTGCATTTTCATACAAATTGCATTCTGTTTCCATTCTTTATTGTTCGATCCTCTTGTCCCTCTGTTGCCAGACATTCTGATCACGACTAACGTCATATACTACTTATTTCACAGGTTGAAATCATGAGTCATTTGAAGCTAGACCACCATTGGAAACCTGGAAGCACTTGGTTGAAGCTAGACATTAACGCCGTCGGATGCCGGCTCAGTGGTCTAATGGTTAAGTGCTCGCACGCGAAGCCAGTAGGTCTTGGGTTTGAATCCCGCGGGGGGCGGGTTCGTGGATGCACACTGCTGAGGAGTCCCGTACTAGGACGAAACGGCCGTCCAGTGCTTCCAGGTTTTCAATGGTGTTATAGCTTCAACTGACTCATGATTTCAACCTGTGAAATTTCCTAAAATCTCCACAAAACTGATTCTGATAATATACTACTTATGTCAATATAAGTAGCACACACCATATACTCAGTTTATTCCTATCAATGTTTACTCATTATGGAATCATTTGTTTCCGGTCGTTTGAACTGTTATCACAATCGATGTTGTAGAATGTTCTTTCACATAAGTTATATATGTTTACTATAATCAGTCTATTCAATTTATTTACACTCTTGCTATACTATACTAATGTGTCTTCGACGTAACCTCCAACTAACCTCTTTCATGTAATTCATTTAAACCCATTATGTAATGAATGATTTCTAAATATCACAGGTTGTAAGCTATCTGACGACGAGAACCAGATGAAATAAAATGTTATTCATGCTATTCTACTAGAATCTTTTTATTCTTGCTCTATTCATAATGATAAACGGAACTATATATAGGAAATATATTACTTTTTTTTAAAAACAGAAATAAACATGTAGAATACATTATAGAAACTAGGTAATTCTACAATAATTATGTTCAGATTACTATTGTAGTACAACATCAGTTTTATGAACATTTCACCATAAAATACATTGATTTGTCTTTTTTTACCACAAATTTAATACCAACTACTA